TTATCAAAAGTCAAGGTCTTGACTCTGATTGGTAACCCATAAAATTGTGAAATTGAATTTTCAATGTGATTAGAAATTTGACCTGCGAACTTAAATATACAAAGTTGAAAATTTATTAATTTAATTTAACTATACTAATGATATACACTATTTGTATTTATTAATTTAATTTAACTATACTAACTATAAGTATTTCTATTAAATTTTAAAAATCCTAATATTATACTAATGATATACACTATTTGTTCATATAGTGATTTTAATTCTGTATTAATAATTTAACTATCGGCTCTTATCCGCACTATTACTTAATCCTAAATTTTATAAGCATACTTTAAATATTATTTTCCAATACATAACCTATATTTACTGGATCCTTACCCTTTATAATTTTATCATTTACATATAATATTCTCACATATTTATATATATACGTAAATGAATCAGAGATTTTATCCACAAATTTGTAAATAGATTTCATAAATACTTAGTTACTATTATTTTTCTTTGGATATTCGAACACTTAATTTCTTTTTTTACTGAAACTGTTATTTAAACATGAGAACATGAAGATATACTTTTTATGAAAAACTAAAAAGTTAAAGAACAGTTGAGAAATTTTTACTTTCTAGATGTCATGTGTCACAATTCTGGAGAGGCATATCATCTTATTATAGTATAAATTCTACTGAATGTTTACCAATCATAAAAAAAGGTTACGGAATTATAGTAAGTAACTTTCATTTTGGATGCAAATGTTCAAAGAAAAGTGCATCCATCAAACATGTATTTACTAGTTTAATAGCCTAAAATTGTATATCACCATTAAAATAAAAATTATAAGGAAAATTGTATTCCACCATTGGTTAGCTTCGACCGGTGAGTATTTTGTCAGAGTGTTTCTCCTAATATATTTAGACAACAATCGGAGCAAGTGTTACTAATCGAGTATTCTCTATATCTAGAATAGCTAATATTTTTTTTTTTTTTTAATATGAATAGAAGTTTGTATGTTATGCCTACAATAGTTATATGAACACACAATTTTTTCGTTTCATTTTTATATATTTATTACATACAGTAGTTAAATGAACACACATATTTCTATTTGTTAACTTGAATAAAAGTACCTAAAATTTGTGTGTTTGTACATTTAAGTGTAAAATAGTCAGAAAATGATTAGCGCATATAAACTATAAAGTATGGAGTATATAGTTATAAAAAATATATCAAAACCCATAAAAATGGTGTGTTTGTATTGTGTACCCATAAACACACCATTATTATATGTACTGATGACACAATCCTGGTGTGCTATATTTAATTACTAGATTATTTAACATTAAACCAAAAAAATATGGTTCCATGTATGTTTTAGAAAACAATCGGAAAGGTGTTACTAAACGAGTATTTTCTATATCTAGTCTAGATAAAGTAACCAAATACACAACTAATTTAACTATACAAATATCTATAGGAACAAGTGTTACTAATTAAATTTTTAATGTGCTATTTATATTTTTTATTAATTTATTGATTATTAATTTACGAAGGTTCTTATGTAGTATATACTTTACACGTACATGGATTAATCATTTTGTGACTTTTTTATACATAAGTACATAAAACTTGTGTGTTTATATGTTTACGTGTAAAATAGTCACAAAATGATTAACTCATATAAAGTATTAAGTATAGAGTTATAAAATATATCAAACACAAAAATTGTGTGTTTATATTGTGTACTCATAAACACACCATCTTTATGTGTTCACAATCTGTGTGTGCTAAATTTATACAAGAGTCAGGTTTTTTTTTGTTCAAAATAAAAGAAAATATTGTTTCAAGTTTTAGAGATTTAAGAATCTGATCATTTTACTGATATGTAGAATTCCGCTCCAAATGCTTCTATTAGTATTAAGTATTAACTACTAGATATACGCAAATAGATGATAATATAGAAATTTCTCAATTTTAGCAATTACTTTTATACATTAAGTTGATAGATTTTTTTTTGTTTTTCTTCTTCTTCATCTTTATTCTTCTTTTTCAAAAATTCATATGTTATCAGAAATTTTTATAAATATACTATTTACATACATCTTACAAAAAAAATGAGATCAGTGAATAAAAAACCTTCAATAATAATAAATTTCAGTTATTTTGAAGGTTGATAACTGAGCCAATGTTTGCCTTTTTTCCATATATTTCTGTTTATCTACATATATATCTCATAGCTTCTGGATTCAAAGAAACCCTAAAAACATTTGTAATATGTTATCCTTTTTATCAGTGTACTTATTATAATAATTTTTTGATCAAGTTAATTTTATGATAATTCAAACTTTGGGTCAAGTTAAAATACACCCTTTTTTACCATATGAAACATTTGTTTTTTGATGAATTAAATGTATTTAACTTGTGATCAAGTTTGATCAAAATAAAATATTTATCTATTCGGTCAGTTTTTTAGGTTAGACTAGAATCAATTAGATTGATTTTTTTTTTTTTTTTTTTTTTTTTTTTTTTTTTTTAATTTAGACGCCTACTATCAAACTTCCTATTTATATAGGTTATCACTGTCTTGATCTTTTTTTTTATATAAATTTGTGAACCATAGTTCATCTTAAAAGCCGAAATAAGACTTTTATATGAAACTATTGATTTCATTAGTTAAGCAATCTTTATATTTTTTATTATATGAATGATCTAATGATTCAGTTTTCTAACAAACTATATAATCAAAAATAGATGAGGAGGAAAATATAAATATTATAAAAATAATTAATATATAAATACGATCTCTATGACGACTGTATGTACCGTACATATAATTTGTATGTTTATAGGTTTATGTGTAAAATAGATGCAAAATGATTAATACATATAAAGTATTAAGATTATATACAAAATATATTAAACACATAAAAATTGTGTGGTTGTGTACTCAATCTTGGTTTGTTTTATATAATTATACACGATATCAAACACATACAAGTTGTGTGAGCTGTGTACACAATCTTGGTGTGTTTTATTTATATTTTACTCGTTTCAACTCTTTTACATGTATTATTGCACACAGTTTGTATGTGTTTATCTATCTATCTATATATAGACGTAATAACTAACTTATTTTGATGATAGATCTTTTTTTTTCCTTGGTAAGCATTTACTTTTTCAGTTAGATTTTGTTGTTGTTGTTGTTGTTGTTATGAGGTGTGTAATACCTTGCACCAGAAACAATATAGCAGAACAAGTTAATTTTAATTATTAATTCATATACTCGAGATGAGTCTTTTGACCTTTCGTTCTAGTTACAAAAAGGGGGATGAAGGATAAGTAGACAATTTGCAAGTTGAGAAAAAACAGGACCGTAGTAAAGGAGGGAATAGAAAACACAGCTTCTTATTAGAGTTTGTTTGCGGTATTTCTGGTTTTTTTTGTGTTATCATGATACTAATTTGTACGATCCGTAACAACCAGTGATTTAAGATTTTGCAGATAACAAATCAAAACAAAAAGGATGTTGATATACTATGCTTAAGGCAATATATCAGCTTTCTTTTAGATTTGATTGGTTACTAGTAAAATTTGAAAACACTGATTGATATGAATCATAATAAATAGTGTTATGACTGTAACCTCAAGAATGTGGAACCTTATATTGCCTACAAATCTAACACAGACGGGTGTGTTACACACTTTGGAGTATAAATTCTGAAGAAGTGTATGATATAAACTTATAAAGATTGCGGATGATGTGGCACAAGTTGAGTGGAAGATGAAGCTTTGGCGTCGCCATGTCAAAGTTATAAGCTGGTGTGAAATAGCTGAATGGAGCATGAAGTCATTTGGAATAAGGTTCAAGAAAGATTTTCGAAATCGTATGACGAAGATTTGAAGATGTCTTGTTAATTGGAAGTGTAAATTAACAAACAGAAAAATGTTATCTTTCTTAACTAAAATTATTGTTATCCGGAGAAGAACTTTAAAACACTACTAATCATTGAGCTCTCAACATGTGTATTATTTAAAACTCTTACAAATTTAAACTAACTAGGAGAGTACCCGCGCAATGCGCGGGTTAATATATTCATAGTATTTTTTCATACGAAGGTGTAGATAGTGAAAAAAACCAAGAAGCATATATAGTTGGCAAGAACATATGAGCAGTTACCAATTTGTGTCCTCCCTTTAGCTCATTAAGAGCTATGAGGTTTCAAAAATCTTTGCTTTCATTTTCTAAATAACGATAAAAAAAACACTTAATCTAGATAAAAGAGATCAAATTTTGTGGCACTGTGATTGATTATGTCCTCTTCTTCATCACTCTCTTCACTCTACGTCTCCCTCTGAAATTACAAAACCACAAGATCCAATAGCTTGGTGTTCTCTACTTCTCTCCTTGGTGTTCATTTAACTTGTTCACTTCATCATGCAACGTCAGCAATGAAACCGCACCTACAGAGATCCAAACCAAAATCAATAATTTTTCTCTGTTAGACTGAAAAACCCAAAAATTCTGTATATTGCTTTTATCTAATTAGTAATTTTTTTCTAATTAGTCACCAAACCAAAGAACGTATTCACAAGCCTTCATCCAATAGTAATTTTTCCATGACTAAATTATAAATATTTCTCGAGCCAATTGATTTCCAAGGGATGTTATATGTATAATCAAGAATGCAATCAAATAAACATTAAAGCACGTTCACGTCAAGAGAAAAACAGAAAAGGTTTAGCAAATGAGATAAAAGGTCATTATGTTGACTTACTTTGTCCCACCTCTGTTCTCTCATATTCCATGCATAAGCAACACCATTGTCTCCTTCCCTTACAACTTTTGTCTGGCCATCACTACCTGAGAAGGCACATCAAATACAAGAAGATGTTACAAGAATGAGCATAGCGAGACAGTACCAATTTACAAAATACAAAATTTGGAGAATAAGTGGCACCTGGCACCGTCAGAGCATCAAGACCCGGAAGCTCGTTAAGTTTCATTCCCCCAACCTTTTTCCTGAGATAAAGAACGGCACGCATGTACTTTGCAGTTATATATAGAGCATAAAAACACGAATCAGACACCATCAGCAGGTCATATCATTAAAAAAGCATGAAATTGCCATGTGAAAGTGAAAAAAATATCCAATCGACACAGAACTAATATATAAGAGTTAAGATAATCATAAATGATCAGATTACCTGCTCCAATCGAAATTAGCGAATTATATGCATCAATCTCCATCTGATCTGCAATCACTTCATCACGTACTGTCCAAACACGAACCACTCCATCCGAACATGCTGTGACAATATCCCCACTCTCCAAGAATTTGGCATCCCAGACACAGCCTGTGCGTTCCAAACTCTGAATGCAGACTCCATCTGTACCAGTTATTAACAACAAAGTAAGAACAACAGATCAATCTAAAAGAAATAGACATGATTTAAGACCGCAATGTTCTCGTTTCGCTAGTGATATCATTTATAACACCTATCGCAGACCAATCTTTGCAAGCATTACAAACTGGTTTCTGATCACTTTATATTGTCTGAAACTCTAACAACAAACTCCCCATTAGCTGTAACAAAGTAATCCAATTTGATGCCACGTCTTCTACAAAACTATGATGCAGGAAACCTCCAGTGATGGTCCTAGAACGTAACAATAATGGAATACTAATAATATTCACACAAGAAGAACTAAAAAAAAAATACTTACTTTGTATCCTTTCATATCCTACAATATCAAACTACCAACCTTTCTTCTGCGAATATCTTTCGTACCTATCAATATTCCAACGGAAACAGAGTCAAAGTTCCAAGTAGAAAGAAGGATAACACTTTCTATGTTCAGTATATAAAAAAGGAACTAACATTCTACATATGTCCATGGCAAACAAAGAAGCCTCTTCTCCACCAGTACCTAACCAAGATATTCATTTGTCAAAAATAACCTAGATAACGTTGGAAGTAAGCGATGTTCAAGAGCATTATTAGTTCATAAGTCTACCTGCTCTCACCTCCAGGATACAATCCCTTTCACCAGCTTCGTCTTTAGGAAGCAAAGACTTAAGCAGCAAAGTCTGCAGTCTCTTCTCTTCTTCCACCGCCTCACCTAATTCACTTACAGCCATATCAAGCATGTCCTTGTCATCCGAACTCTCTGACACCAGAGATTTCAGTCCATCAATTTCCTACCAGAAGGAATTAAACTTTATAAGCGATGACCTTTTTTAGATTAGAGACGAGGAGGAAATACAGTACCTTTTGTTTGGCCCTCAAATCATTGATCAGCTCCATTGACTCTCTCAGCTTCCGAAGTTCCTTTTAGCTCTTGAAAACTCTTCTTGTGAGTACTCGGGCTGTCTTTTCAATCAACACAACACAGTTTATTGAACACTTCAAAAATGAGGATTTGAAAACATATAAAGCAAAAGGTTTGGATTACCTAGTTAATAAGCCTCTGAAGAACAGCATTTCGGTGTTCTATCGACGATAGTCTCTGATCCATTATCTTAATAAGATCTGGAGACAGCTGAGGTTCCATTTCTGCCATTACAGAGCCCATTTCAATCAAATACCAAACTGAAATTCGCTAAAATGGAACTCAGTGCAGTGTTTAATCCGCAATCGAGTTTGTTTACTAGTTTTAAGTCAAAGAAAATGAGTAAAAAACTTTGAGAACGAAGAAAAACCTACCGGTGCTGTACAGACGAACCATCTCCGACGCGACCAGGCGTGCCAAAAACTACTTATAAACTCTTGAATCCATAATTTCAGAGAAGCGTACTAATAGGAAGAGGTTATGCACAACGTGAAACATTCAATGAAGCAAACATCATACAGCTAAAGACATGTTTGCATAAGCAGGGTTTTGAAGCAAACACCATAAAGCAACATTCCATAAGCAAAAGGCAGTCATCAGACAGGATAAGCATTAACATCCCACTCACAAAAATGAAGCGTAATGGTAAGAAGTGGTTTGACCAACCTGAAAGATATCAGCAAAACTCTTTTGCTTGCCTCCAAGACCCAAATCAGGCAAACCAATAAGCCCATTAGCATCCCACTGAGAAGAAGAAGCATTAGTTTTCTCAGGCTCGAACTCGTGCTGCTGATTCTGTTCAAAACCCGGAGGCATAGAGAACAAAGACCGACTCTCATTCACTTTTCTTTCACTGAAATCAGCACAATGGTTACATGCCTTCAGCTCATACATATCTTGTATTAGTCTTAAATTACGGAAGAGACTTATAACGTAGTATCCAAATAACCAACGTTCTTACATAGGACCATTACGATAAAACGGAAACATACTTAAATCAATAATCCTGGTGGGGTTAAATGGCTTGATATATCAAATCAATTTCTCACTTGTTGCAATAGACATGATAGAATCAAGAACATAACAGTAAACAAATTTCATATTTCACATCGAGAATATGTATTGATAAGAAAATAGACGCCATGCGTTGAGAAAAATCTCGAGGAAATCAATGAGAGGCGGGATACAAAGGAGACTTAAAATCTACAAAGCAAAACTGATGCATGGAGAAATTCTAATAGTGATGTGAAGGCGAGAGCAATCCAATTCGAAAGTCTAATAAAATTCGAAAATATTGTAAGCTGGTGTGGTGGGTGGAGCCATAGTTTGAGCGTTTGCTGATGTTTGCGAGGGAGATGATGTGTTTGTGGGAATGGTCGAGGGAAAGATTTAGGGGTTCGTACCTTCTGATTATGAGAAGCATGACGAACCCGTCTTCCAGTGAATCGCAGTGGCCCCATACACGCAGGAGGCGAGCCGTGATAGTCTCTAGTCTCCACAGTCGGGCCTAATAGCAAATCGTCGAAAGTGACCGAAGACGGTGGTGGAGCGACATGGTAACCGTGAACCATAGCGACGGCCGGCGAAGAGAGGCACCCGTCTTCGTCAGGGGAGATAGTGACGGTTCGGAACTTCTGAGTGCTGAAATTCTTCGAGAGCAAAAAACAAATGGGGAGATGAGATTAAGGGGATGTGGATGGAGCTTTTGAAAGGAGAGGAGGATAATAGAAGGCAACGAACCGCTACCTCCGGAGTAATAAGCCACATTAATTGCCGGAATAAAGATGTACGTAACGCCGGGAAGAGGGAGATGAAGAGTCTCGGCGGATGGAGGAGATTAGTGAAATCGACTTCCGAGTTCAAAGCGTTCGAGTGGATGGAGACGACGTCGTTTCGTTCGAACTAAGCAGCCAAAAAAAAATTATTTCAAAACGACGTCGTTTTAGGCTCAACAGGGAGAAAAAAAAGGCTGACGTGGCACTCTCTGGAAACGACGTCGTTTTGCTGTAAGACGAAATAAAAAAACTACAACGCAAAACGACATCGTTTTGGCGTTTGGAAGGAAAAAAAAAAAAAGGTGTCACATGTCCCAAACTGGAGAATGTCCAAGCCTTACTAGATGATTGTCCGCGCCTAATGCGCGGGTGAATTGTGGACTTTTAAGATTTACATAGAAATTTGAAATTTATATTGGACAAATAAGTATAAAGTTTTGAGAACTTAGTACAAAAACTGAGATATAATTTTCCCATCTGATTAATATTTTGTTTATATGTTGTGTTTTGTTTATTATGAAATCATTTATAACAACCAACATATATCAGGTTCGCCGTCAATGAACTACAAAAATAGAGCAAGAATCGACAAAGAGACTAAGGGTCTGATTGGTTCTCCCGCTACGACCCGCAAACGCTGCGTTTATGATTCGTAGCAGTTCTTGGTGGTTTATAACAATCACAATTTCCGCTTTGAACTGCTCTATACCATTCTGTACCGCTCTAATTATTGATAATATAATTCTTAAATGCATATAAATGCAAAGAGTAAAAAATATTGTAAATTTTGGCTAACACTTACAATATTGAATAATTTATATTCAATTCAAAGAACATGACTCTTTGCACCTTATTTCCAACATACAAATGTACGTCTCAAAAGTAATATAGTAGAAATATATCACATAAACTATTCTGCAATGTTCTCACAAACAAAACCTGATTAGCAAATCTTCCGCCGTAAATATGAGTCAATGATTTTTAAAAAAAATTAATTTGTGCAACATAGATTGACAAATATCCAGAATACTCAAAATACTTTTCCAAACAAATATTGTAAGGTTTTAATGCAAAATATAATTCTAACAAATTTTCACCAAAATTTAAGTCTGTAAAGTACATGTGAACATATTAAAAGTCGAAAAGTTGTTTTCCAAATATTTTAAAAAAAATCACTTAGACAAACTATTATGCAATGTTCTCACCAAAAAAACCTGATTAGCAAATCTTCAGCCGTAAATGTGAGTCAATGACTTTTTTTGCAATTAATTTGTGCAATATAGATTGAAAAATATCCGGAATACTCAAAATATTCTTCCTTAAAAAAATTGTAAGGTTTTAATGCAAAATATAATTCTGCTAATTTTCACAAAATTTTAAGTTTGCAAAGTTCCCGTGAACATATTAAAAGTAGAAAAGTTGTTTTCTAAATGTTTAAAAAAAATGCAATGTTCTCACCAAAAAGACATGATTAGCAAATCTGCACCATAAATATGGGTCAATGATTTTTTTTCAAATTAATTGTTGCAACATAGATTTACAAATATCAAGAATATACTCAAAATACTTTTTAAGGTTTTAATGCAAAATATAGTTCTGCTAAATTTTCATCAATCTTTAAGTCTGTAAAGTTCATGTGAACATATTAAAAGTCGAAAAGTTGTTTTCTAAATGTTTAAAAAATATCGCTAAGACCAGTTATTTTGCAATGTTCTCACGAAAAAAAACTGATTAGCAAATCTTCTAGCGTAAATGTGAGTCAATCATTATTTTTGCAATTAATTTGTGCAACATAGATTGACAAATATCCATAATACTCAGAATACTTTTCCAAAAAAATATTGTAAGGTTTTAATGCAAAATAAAATTCTAATAATTTTTCACCAAAATTTAAGTCTGTAATGTTCATGTGAACATGTTAAAAGTCGAAAAGTTGTTTTCCAAATGTTATTAAAGAAATCGATAAGATAAACTATTTTGCAATGTTCTCACCAAATAAACCTGATTAGCAAATCTTCAGCTGTAAATGTGAGTCAATGACTTTTTTGCAATTAATCTGTGCAACATAGATTGAAAAATATCTGAATACTCAAAATATTATTTCAAAAAAATATTGTAAGGTTTTCATGCAAAATATAATTCTGCTAATTTCTCACTAAAATTTAAGTCTGCAAAGTTCCCGTGAACATATTAAAAGTGGAAAAGTTGTTTTCCAAATGTTTTAAAAAATCGCTATGGCAAATTATTCTTCAATGTTCTCAGCAAAAAAAACCTTATTAGCAAATCTTCCGCTGTAAATGTGGGTTAATGATTTTTTTTACGATTAATTTGTGGAACATAGATTGACAAATATCCTGAATACTCAAAATACTTTTCCAAAAAATATTGTAAGGTTTTAATGAAAAATATAATTATGCTAATTTTCAACAAAATTGAAGTTTGTAAACTTCTTGTGAACATATTAAAAGTCGAAAAGTTGTTTTCCAAATGTTTTTTAAAAATTGGCTAAAACAAACTATTTTGCGATGTTCTCACAAAAAATATCTGATTAACAAATATGCGCCGTAAATGTGAGTCAATGATTTTTTCCAATTAATTTGTGCAACATATATTGACAAATATCTAGAATATACTCAAAATACTTCTCCAAAAAAGTATTTTAAGGTTTTAATGCAAAATATAATTATGCTAAATTTTCACCAACTTTTAAGTTTGTAAAGTTCTCATGAACATATTAAAAGTCAAAAAGTTGTTTTCTAAATGTTTTTAAAAAAACTATTTTGCAATGTTCTCACAAAAAAAAAACTGATTAGCAAATCTTCCGGCGTAAATATGAGTTAATGATTATTTTTGCAATTAATTTGTGCAACATAGATTGACAAATATCCAGAATACTCAAATACTTTTCCAAAACGTTTTGTGAGGTTTTAATACAAAATATAAATCTGCTAATTTTTCACTAAAATTTAAGTCTGTAAAATTCCCGTGAACTATGAAAATTCGAAAAGTTTTTTTCCAAATGTTTTAAAAAATAAATATCCATCAAATTTTATGTCCAAAATATGATTTCCATAAATCCCCAATATTTTTTTGTTACACAATTTTCCCTTCCAAAATTTAAGGGTGAAAATATATTATTCTGCAGATTTTCAGCCAAATTTATTTATATCAAAAAAATAAATATTTTATTTATTTATTTATATCAATATATGATTTAAAAAGCTTTTGCAAAAAAAAAATAATAAATAAAGAAAAAAAGAAATCATTGATTATAGTATACTGTATACACCATACCATTGCACTTTAAAAAATCCAAACATTCTTTAACTATTTATCTGCTGCTCCTATGTATTCTTTCACATATTTTTTTTTTTTGTTTTTGTATTGATATGTTGTAAAATTTGATAGTGATGATGATACAAAAATTTAAGTTTTAATATGTTCTAAATATTCAAGTTTTCATGCTACATCAATGATTTCTCCAATGTCTAGCCAAAACGTAAATCCATTAATATTTCAAATATATTATTTACGTCAGAAGACTAATTACATTTTTTCCCCCAAAAAGTACAATTGCAAATAACTTTTGCCAGAAATTAATTTCATAAAAAATTAACTATAAATTGAAAAATGTTTTTTTGTTCAAATGATTCTCCAAAGTTCCCGCAAAACAAAATCAAACCAAATTTTCTGCTTGTTTTATTCTGTCACATAAGATAAAAGTAAACATTGAAAAGTGACACGTTTACTACGTCTTTCTGTAATTTTTGTAACTATGTTTTAATAAAATTAAAATAACTTTAACTAACACCTTTGGATTAAACGAATGGACCGTAAAGATAAACAGCTTTCCTTATCTTCTTCATCTTCTCCAGTAATCTAGACGTCATTTCCCGAGCATAAACAATCTTTGATAGCTCTGTAAAATTGTTTTCTAAAATTAGATTAAGCGTTTTTCTTATCAAAGGGTGATGTGATTCAGACTTAATTTCACACCAATACCGTTGTTGCTTCGACAGATAATATTTTATTTGTTTGACAGAAAAATCATTTCATCATTGAAGAATGGGATATGGATTTGAGATATGATTAAGTCTTTGCATAAAGAAGGCCATATGGTTCCGGCCTAGTGTCATGATTGTAGCCATAACACACTTCTGCATCTTTATAATACGGAGTGTATGATTATTCTCTTGATTTATCACAAAGCCAGAATTGCTCTATAGAATATATAGTTAGATAGAAGAATGAATTTAAACGACACATAAAAGGAAAGCTTGAATAATACAAAGCAACTGAAGCACAACATATCTAACAAATCAAAGGAGAAGCTTAAAATGTCTTCATTGCTATATGCCTTCTACGTCCTTCAGATGGTACTTTTTAAAATTCGTGTGTTGGCTCATCGTACGATGGAGCTCATGCTTTTTTTTTTTGGTTTTAATGTTAATGGAGCTCATGCTTCATACGTGATGTTTTGTTGTTTTGCTGCGTGGAAGAGTTGACTGCACTAAATGTTCTTCTTCACTCGTAAATTCAAATTTTAAAATAAAACAAACAATAACAAAAGAAATTACGAACATTAAAAAAAAAAAAAAAACTTCAAACAACAACTATTTATAAATAAAAGTAAAACGTACATGTAAATGAACATCAGAACATATAATACCTTTGAGATGGAACTGAGATCAAGCTCCATAACGACGATCTCAGTCTCTCTGTTACTCGCCGGAAAAATCAACCTCGCTCCTCGTTTCGTTAGAACTCTCATGACCTTCATCAAATCAACAACAGAAAATAATATGAGAATCCCAGCAAATCAAATCGAATCCAATAATATGAAAATTCGAAACAGGGGAGAATAAACTGAAAACGAAAACTCACCGGTAGGATGATGAGACATTTAGCTTCTGAAGTCATTTATATAGAGATTTCATCCTCTAGGTTAAATCTTTTCGAGTATTTGATGCCTTTAAGTCGAGATTCATGATATAGTAACTAATAACGCGATTAGCAATTTCTTTCAGTTTGCAGAATATTTGAAGATCCGGCAAAGGCAGTATATTAATTGACTGAATCATTTTAAACTATAACAAATCTACTGCTGCAATAAAGAAACGAAAATATAAAAGCAACGTGTTCTTGCATAGAAGGAAAACATAGATGTGGTCTTTAAATGTAAAAAGAATTGAGGGAATAAGTAAAGAAAAAGGAGATATTGTCTTAAATGCAAAAAGACTTTTTTAAATGTAAAAAGCATTGAGGAAATTTTTGTGTTGGGGAAGAAAGAAGGAAACCACAATATTGCTACGAAAGCCCAATAAAATTAGCCCAGCAAACAGCTTCATAAAAATCTAATGAACGGAAAAAAAAAAATCCGACCCGGTAATAAAAGTCCGCGTGTTTATCCGAAAAAGAGAAATTAGTTTATTTAAAAAATTCTAAAATACTAAAAAAAAAAAAAGAGAGCTTGCCATGTCAGCAAATCTTTATGGTCTTTAATATATTGTAGGATTAGTTATGTAGATTTAAAAATTTATGGTAGGCAAATGCCACCTCCCAAGTTTTTTTTTTGTTTTCACTGAATTGTAATGGTATTAAAAGCTCACCAAGAGCAAGAGGTACACAAGTATAGAGTATAAGAGCAAAAGAGACAAATAAACGGTAAAGCAACAACAAAGCTCAGTCGGACCAAGGCACATCAAGCCTGCAAACGATACTCTTGATAGAGAGCAGAACAGAGGAAAGATAAGGGGAAAAACTTCCTTAGATTCCACGACAAGGTTTCTCCTTCTCAAACAATTCCCTAAGCCATCGTGGTTCCCCTTTAGCCACATAAGATTGTAACCTATTTTTCAACACAACACTCCTTGCGATTTCGGAGGCGCCAGTATTAGATTTCGGCTCCTCAAAACAGATATCCCATGCATCCAACCTTGTTCTCTGTAAACTGCAATAAACCTGCAGTATGACCCATGAGAGCTGGCCAATGTTGGGGTTCGTATATATATATTTCTATCTTTTGTATAGTGCTAGCCTATTTACTAAATAGCCTAGCGGCTTCTACTAGAAAAATACTCTTTCACAGCAACGACTAATTGTGCCGTTTCAACCTATACTTTGTGATCCTGTCGTTTGGGTTAATGAATGTTGTTCCAAGTTCCACCCACGTTTATACTAAATGGTAATTTATGTTAACCTACTTTATTATCTACAAGAAATAAGAAAGCTAATAAGAGATCAGTACAAAGAGGTAAATTACTAAAATATACAAAAACTAAAATTAGCTACGCGAAATAATCCCCAATAACTTCTCAGATTTATTTTTACTAATTCAACTAAAACGATGAAATCTCCATAATTAGTAAAAACTATGAAAACTTTGATTTTTTCTAAGATGAAACTTTCTGAAATTAAGATTCCATTAATCTCGTTGACTTGGCCCAACCCTGGTTTTTTTTGTTTCCCACTATTCAACTAGGCAAAGCTATTTTTACTGTGTGTATATATAGCCCTTGATAAAGGAAACAAACATAGTTGTTACAACGATAAGGCAAACAAAACATAGAAGAGACCATCTTTCATCATTTTTCTTGAATTATGAGGTGTGCTACTTGTATTATGTTCTGTTTCATATCCCTTGTTTTGACTAACGCACAAGGTAATACACCAACAACCTTTTAGTGACAAAAGGTTATTTCGTTCTTTCTTTCTTCCGTGACAAAAAGTTGGAGTTGTTGTTATTCATAAGAACACCGATTATGACAATAGCAAAAAACAGTGTAGTAATTGAAAAAACAAACATTTCTACAAAACAGTTTAATTTTAAACTGTTTGCACTACCTAATTATTATAAAAATCTTTGTTATCAGTTGAACCTGTTTTTTGGCTAAAGAATTGAACCTTTCTTTTTTTGGCTGCTACAAAGTATAGACGTGGAAGTTCAGAAGGCAGGCTTATGCACATTTTTCAAACTTTTCCTGGAGGATGCGGCATCAACGGAGGCACGGGCTGCAAAAATTTAGTTACGTTGAATAAAAAGTACAAAAATCCAGCTCAATGTGAATGTGAAACTGTTGATATTTCTCGCATTTGCCGTTGTATGGTTACTTGCCCCCCTAAAGCGTAAAAATTATCTCACCTTTGGCTATCCGCAGATGTTTTTTAAGAGGCGGAAATACTTTTATTTCTATGTGTTTCGGAGATTAGCCTGGGTTTTCGCATAAAATAACTTCGGTTATAAAAATAAAATAAAAGTAATAAAAGTTTTTCTGGTCTTTACAAAGTTGTCTCTGTTTTGTACAGTAAGTTTTTTCCTTTCTCCCATTATTCTTTTGGAGTATTCAACTGTGTCAATGCCCCCATAAAAAGCGTAAAAGTGATTTGTTGTGAAATAAATTAACTATTTAACAAAAATAGTTTTTTTTTTCGCTTGATTTATCATACTATCACAAATTATTATAAATGTTACAATGAAAATTCTGCAACGACTAATTCTGTTTTCTGGTGTACCTCGACTGCCACTCGAGCATCCTGCAAGCATATCTTCAATAATCTGTAAAATTGATAACAAATCGCATTTTCTGAGATTCGAATATCTCCTATCTCCTGCTGTAGAAGCATTAATGAATTTTTAGCCAAACCATTGGGTCAAAGAGATCTCCACAACAAAAAGAATTTATGATTTTGATATGCCAAAAATAACTAGTCTCTACTCTCTATCACTGTTACTTTCTACATGTTTGGGTTGCAAGTAACTTATATTTTTGATTCGCAAGACACTAAACTCTGATGCTGACGCTGCGATTTTGAAAATAATATGCCTAGTAATTAGATTAGACAAAACTGTGTATATGAGTTCAGGTTAAGATCTTAATGTTTAACGCTATCATATGTAAATGAAATACTCTTATAAAATCTCGATAATATTCTTATTCGAAATATATTACTTTCTTCGTTTTAAATTAGTTGTCGTTCTGACAAAATGTATCTATAATTATTTGGATGTATCTGGATACAAAATACAAACAGATACATCCAAATAATTACAAATACACTTTGTCAAAACGACAACTAATTTAAAACGGAGGGAGTATGTAATTATTATTGTAGATAATACTTTTTCAATTCAATGATTCTTTTTTTTTTTTTGGTAAAATAATACGGTGATTCTTTTGCAGGTGTTCCAAGAAAGTTTGTTTAGGATACACAATCTAATTAAGAAGTTACGTGAACCCCAATATCATAATTTAAAGGGATGTATTATTCAACTTGAGATTTTAGATGATTTTGAATGAATTAGAAAAGTTGTTATGCTTTAATGAAAACATTCTAGAATCCTATCTAAAACTATGATATTTAGATTATTATATTTGTACGTAGTACAGAAACTCTTCTAAAACATCTTAAAATCACTATAAATCACATGAAACCACCACTTAACACATTTCTAACAACATTATATTTTAAAGTAAATTTTAAAATTTTAAGTAAAACAATAGTGGATTTTAAACCATTTCTAAACATTTATGTTTGAATAATAGAATTATCATTTTAATATAGATGGTTCCAAATAATCTCAAATACTGAAGTTGAATAATGTACATCCTCTTAGTTCATCTACAATTATTATTATTTACAGATTTTCAGAAGAGGCTACTAAAAATATCAAATTAGGAAGATTATATTATTTATTTTTGTGGTAAATTTACAGTTCTGAAATATGAGAAGGGCAGAGTGGACGATGTTGAAAGTCAAATTTTTGATGCAATTCTTGGAAACGAAATGTGGAAGCCCTTTAGCCTAGTGGTTGAAGGGATTTAATGCTTCTACACCAGGAGGTCTGGGTTTCGAATCCCGGCGAATGCGATTTGCTAATAATTTATGCAGATTATTGGAGACAAGCTTACAGGAGGTCTACAGAATGGTGCACGTGGAGCCGTCGGCCGGGGAGCCTTTGAAGATGGTAGAATCGTCCGTTGTAGAATTGTCTTGTAACAGTTCTCATATTTGTGTAATAGATTAGTCAATCCAGTGTTAAAAAAAAAAAAATTCTTGGAAACGAAATATACAAAGTCGTAATGTGTTTTCAAATGAAAAAAAAAAAGGATCAAGACCTAGGAACAATAATCTCACAGATGATAGAGGAGATGTTAGAGGAGGTGATAATCCTAGTGGCATTTCGAATCTTAGCATCACTACCTGTAACCTTTTTAGACCACATGTGCAACTGAAGATTCAGTTTCGGCAGACGCAGTTTTTTGCTGAATCTCAGTGGATTGTGGCTACAAGGTCACTCTGTCACTTACAATACCATGTTGCGTATTTAAGTCGTCTGCAAATGATTCTACTCGCCGCTTGGTGATAATTATAATTCAAGGCGGTCCGAAAGGCGCTTCCGCCGAACAGACTTAGCCAACAACACGTGCCTTTGGGAGCCGAAGCTCCTACTGAGGGTCGGCAATCGGGCGGCGGGCGCATGCATCACTTCTAGCCCAGATTCTGACTTAAAGGATTGTGACTTAGAGACGTTCAATCATAATTCAGCGCACGGTAGCTTTGCGTCACTGGCTTTTCAACCAAGCATGATACCAATTGTGCGAATTAACGGTTCCTCTCGTACTAGGTTGAATTACTATCGCGATGCGGGCATCACTAGGGTAAAACTAACCTGTCGTAGGTACGGCGAGGCACCAACACCTCCGGAGCATATGAAAAAGCTTGTTGACATGCAGGTTCGAAATAGACTAACGTCTATTAGACACCTTGGCGATGGTGCGATACGAAGAGGGCATGCAGATGTGGTTTGCCAATACATAAAACTCTGTTTTCCTTCTTGTAACTTTTTGCTTTCAGAAACTCAGAAACAAAGTGGTTCTCATGTATAAACGTAGTTTTTCTTGAATAAATTTAACATTCCATTCGAAGAAAAAAAAAGTAAAAAAGATAATCCTAGTGATAACAGTCAAAGGTGATAGTTCTGATGACTGATTACGTTAATGAAGATGATGATGACGAGAAAATCTAATAGAAGAAGAAGAAAATGGTGATGATAATAATAAAACCGAGAATGACGGTGACTACGATGAAGATGGTGATGACGATGATGAGTGATATACCTCTATTTTATACGTTTTTATACGGTTTTATAATGCATTTTATAATGTTTCCAACATTTATTTGATCTAAAAAACACAACACGAGATTTGGACTTCAAAAAATATCCCAGACCTTTGCATCAACTTTAGAAGCTCTAGAAAAACCCTAAATCTCAATGGATTTCAACTTAACTTTGCGCCCTCTTAATGAGTTACCTTTCCAATGCACTTAAAATTACATGATTTTACTGAGTTGCTTGGAAGAATTCTCTATTAGAGCTTTTGACATATCGGGGCCTACAGGCACAAGCTGGCTCTCTAAGAGCATGAGGGCATCTCCATCGCTAAAACCACAATTTGGGTTTTTAGCAAGTTTTTTAATATATATTTCAATCAAAGCTTGTTAAGAAGCTTTTCACTGGATTTTAAATTTTACCTCCTCCATCGGTGGAACCCTCTACTGGAGTTATTACGAAATACTGTTCGAAGTGATTTTGTTTCATTTTTTCCTTTTTTCAAACCGTCACTTACCCACACGTCGACACGTGTTGGGTTCTAAAATTTAGAGGTGGTGTTTATGTAACATCGGACTTTTAATATAATCTTTGCCTGAACCTTTTTTTTAATCATTTTAATCACTAGAATTTTTTAAAACCTGCTTTAAATCCTGCGATGGACATGGTCTAATGGGGGAGCTTAAGAAGGAGCTTAAACGATTTTTTAATATTAAAACCACGTTAACACATGTGTTAAGAATTGTTTGTTTTTTCTTGCTCCAATGGGGGAGCTTATTTTGGGGTGCTTAAGAAAAAAAAAACAGTCAGCGTTTTCTTCTCCGGCGAACCAAAGAAGCATCGCGGCCGATTATTACACATGCAGAAAGACAAAATGAAGAGCTTGTTAATCGACTACAATAGACAAGTCCAAATGGAGATTATTCAAGGTTTAAATACAGTTGCATCCAAAAGCATTAAAATTTAAGTTTCTGAAAATTTTGACCAAATCAAAGCACAAAACTACTAACTCTAAATCACAAGTAAACGAGATTTCCTAAACTAAATCGGCAAGATAAAAGCAATTTGCAGTGCTTAATGAACATTGAGCCCTAATTGACCACGATTTACACGCGACTGTTGACGAAATTTTACCTTGCACAGAGGAGACAAAATCGTCGATTGAGATCCTGTTCATCGGTGTGTCTTCTTCGCCGATTATCATCACCGCAGGGTGATTACGAAAGCCCCACCGACTGGAAGCATGAGAAACGTTTCGATTTCTGGAGAGAAATCGGTGATTGATTCCATGTTTCAGAGAATCGCCGAAATCGCCTTCGAAGAGGTTAGAGAGAGGAGAGAGAAACCGGAAGAGGAAAATGAAGAAGAAAAAGAGTTTTGTCTCTTCTCAAAACCGCCGAGCCAATCATGTCTTGCCACGTGGCAGGTAAGCTTCGACGCTTCCCCAGCTAAAATAAGCGTCGAATTCAAATTTCGCCTAAGTACCACGTTAAGCGTTCCGCGTTGGACATGCTCTAACAGCTCCAGTCACCCCTGCAGATATTAAATCAACTCTGCACTCTGTGCCCAATGACAAAGTCCCTGGACCAGATGGTTTTACGAAGGAGTTTTATATTGTTTCTTGATATGTTGTTGTGAAAGACTTCATCATTGCTGTACAGTGTTTCTTCCTCTATAGCTTCATGCCCAAGGGAGTCAATGCAACCATCTTATCTCTCATCCCCATGATAGAGAATGTGAATTGTATGAAGGACTTTCGGCCTATAGCCTGCTGTAACCTCCTCTACAAAGTCATTTCTAAAATTTTGACAAATTGTCTAAAGACCTCCTAGACGCTATAGAACCTAATCAAAGCGCTTTCATCAAAGCTGACCTCCTACTTGAGAGTGTGCTATTAGCCTCCAAAACGGTGAAACCTGTTGGCAAAGTCTGAGATGCTTGATCTGGCGGCTATTCTCACTCTCAGTATCTCTTTGGGTAGCTTGTACCTGTCACTTCTTGCTGCAGAACATATATTTTTGGGATGCTTAACTAAGTACAAAGGGCTCTTGGATCTGGAGGAAGTTATTGGGATTAAGAGATCAAGCTTACCCGTTTATTCAAGCAGATGTAAGAGATGGGAAGAATACTTCTTTCTGGTTTGATGATTGGTTGCAATGTGGCAATTGTTGATATCACGGGTGCATGTGGGACTAGCATTCTCGGTTTTCCACTGTGTCAGAGGCCACCTCGACTACTGATTGGCGTATATGAGGGGCTCGTGCAAGGTTACTTTACAACCTTTGAGATATAAATGGTAATATGGGGTACACCTTTTTGTAAGAAAGTAAATTTGGGTGTAGAAATGAAAATCCCCCTTTCATATGATATATCAATCAAACCCATAATCTAATGCAATAAAACCACTCTTTTTCACTCTAAAATATTATACGACTTGTAGGACTGACAGAGTGACATCAAAAGTTTAATGTATGAAGGTCTAAGACTAACAAAGATTATGTAATTCAGCGTTATGTTAATCATATGTGTTAAGAAACACAGTGTTCATTTCTCATACATAGTTGTTACACAACAATAAACACATACATAATATTCATCTGGTATAAGTTTAAAGAAAAACTTGAGTATTCATATAACTATTTTTTTTTCCAAATATGAATCTCCTCAGTTTAGTAAATATTGACACGAACTTTCTCAATGGATTTCACTTTACAGAGAGGGTGATTTGGTTAACCGTACAAGATTCGTTATCACACTGTTTACTCGAGGAAGAATCAGCCTCACGAGGACTTCTTCCGACGCAATAACCAGGCGGTTTAGGCTGAGGAATCGCCGCTGTTTCGCTTCCAAGCATCAAAACCACAGCAGACATCGGTGGTCGGTCCTCCGCAAGTTCTTGAACACACAAGAGACCAATTTGTATACACCTTAAAACATCCTGGGGTCGAAATGTAGATTGTGGTGATGATGAAGAATCTACGATGATCTGATCTACAATCTCTAATCCTTTTCCTTCATTCCAATTCCTCCACACCTGCTCATATTTATAATTAATAAAAACAGATCACAACTTTACAGTATTCGATCGATCTCAACGAAAGAAAATTGAATTTGATTGGTTTAAATCTTACATAGCTGAGAAGATTATTTTCGTGGTTCGTGCTGTAGAATCCTCTGTTTCTCTTGCCACTGACGATCTCGAGAACTAAGACCCCAAAGCTGAAAACATCTGATTTTACCGAGAATATTCCGTCCATCGCGTATTCCGGAGACATGTACCCGCTGAGTAACAAAAAAGTCTTAGTTATGAGTTTTTTCATTTACAGTATTCAAGACAAAGATATTTCTATTTTCAAAGATAATGTTTAGATTGCTTACTAAGTTCCAACTATCCTCCTCGTAATAGCTTCTTTCTCGTCCCTTGCAAAGATCCTGGCCATCCCAAAATCTGAGATCTTTGGAGTCATATCTTTATCAAGCAAGACGTTGCTCGCTTTCAAGTCTCTGTGGATGATTCTACACCGCGAATCTTGGTGAAGATATAAAAGTCCCCTAGCAATACCGTTGGTGATATCGAATCTCTTCTCCCAGTTTAATTTACAGTTTAGGGTTTTGTCTACGAATCGATCACAACAAAATCAAATTAACTCAAGTCCAGTGACATTCAATTGAATTATACTTCGAGAGCTTCTAAAATGTGAGGCACTAACCAAAGAGATAACGATCGAGGCTTGAATTTTCCAAGTACTCATAGATCAATATCTTCTCTTTATCGTCAACGCAACAACCAAGAATTTGGACAAGGTTTATGTGTTGAAGCCTTGCGATCAGCTTCACCTCATTCTTGAACTCATCGTTCCCTTGATTTGATAACTCTGAGAGTCTTTTCACCGCAATCTCTTTCCCATCAAGTAACCTTCCCTGCTACGACAAATTGTATAAGTTATAAAAAACTAATAGTAGACTTTATGCCATTATCAAAATGTTTGATCATTTCTACCTTGTAAACTATACCGAAACCACCATGTCCGAGCTTGTTGCAATCAGAAAAATTTTGTGTGGCCATGACAACAGCTTTAAACTCCATCAATGGAAGCTCCAAATCCTCTGTTATGTTCTCTTCAGACAAGTGTCTCCTACTAGATAGTACCACCCCGTTCATTAGTAACTCTTGGTACTGTTGACCAACTGTTTCCATTAAACCAAGACATTGATCAAGACATACCACAATGTACACACACATACAAATGAATATTGTTTACTATTAATATACCAATAGGTGCTGCAGTTGCTCTTGTTCGCTTTTGTTTTCTTTTCCAAAAGCAGAACATGCTGAAAGTTAGAAGAACCACAATGCTGATTCCAACAATCAAACCTATTATTTTTCTACTTATGTTAGTCTCCTCCCCTGAAAAACAAGTGAGAGTGTTAAAATTTGTCAGATTCTTATGTCCTATCACTTATGTGGTTCCTGATATGGCATGGTGAGTTATAATTTTCTTGTCCGTATCTTTTGCCTATTGTATTACATCCCAAAATGACGTTACTTTATTGTAAATAATACATTCTTTTGCATAATGTATTGAAATACATTATCACAAAATGACAATATCTTAGAGTTACTTTAAAAAAATTGTATTATTTACGTTTTATGTATTATTTACGTTTTGAGTTTTACATTAATTACTAAGTATTTTTAATGGATCCATTTCTGAATATCTGTATAGTTGATATTCTGATAGCGTAGGATATAGTTTTCTATATATTTTTTGGGAAACTAAGGTTAGGATATCCAAGACTCGTGAATTAGGATGCAAATCCAAATGTCAAATGTGTGCATGCCCGGATCCCCTAATTTTCCGAATATCTAAATTATATGTTTAATTCTAGGAGAATGAGCAAACCAATATCAGCAGCAGCCAATCTGACATAAAGATCTTGACCGTCAGCAACGTAATTCCGGATATCCACGAGCTCTCCAGTCCAGATTACACAACCAAATCCGCCATGTCTGATATCTGCATTCGCAAATGCTGTACAATTGCAATCCCTAAGGCATTTCTTTTTACATTCTTTCTCACCAATTCTCCGGTCCACGATCGCCATCGTAGTATCCGGAAACTTCATCTTCTTAAAGCCGCAAAAATTTATCTCCGCTGCAGCTCAAAGGCGTCCTTCTCACACATCCGCTCGACCAGTCTCTCAAGTCCCATCGATCCTTGTTCCACACACAGGTGACGCATTCGGATCACAGTAAGCATTAGGCCCACACATCTGGTACATATCGCACTGGCGTTCCATTGGCATAGACTAGAATTGGCCCCATCCCCACGCTGGCGGAATCCACGTCAGTCGCTGTAAATACCCTGTCTCGCTCAGTGTCAATCCACGTCAGTCGCTGTAAATACTAGAAGAGATGCTGTGGTTGGTCATTAGGAAAGTGTAAGCAACCTCCTCTCTGTTCTCCGTGAAATTATAAACCATATAATTCAACTTTAGGTCCTCTGGTATGCCACTAAACCGACGTCCGTCCCATGGACCGCTCCGATGAGCTGGAAAGTATCTTTTCCATAGAAAAAACTCAGGGAATCCTCGAATTTCGAGTTTGTACGAAAAATCTCCGCTTGATGGATCATCTAGGCTTTTCCAAGATCTAAGGGATTTGTTGAGCCCTGTTTTGCGATCCCAGCCAAGTTTCATCTCCGGAAGTAAAGTATCGGTTGGGAAATCAAAACTCTGCCACAAGAATCCACTTGGGTCATTGTTGTTGAAGTATCTCATCACAAAATTTCCGTTAGGGAGAAGCTCTGCCACCACCGGAGATTCTACATCTCTTCTAGTACGATTCGTCGACCACACAGATTTATCGGAGTCACCGAGGAGGAGGAGATTATTGCCAGAGATTTTGAGGGTTCCGATGGAATTTGAGAGAGGACTGTCTCTGTTGGCAACCCACACGTAGGTTCTGTCGGGGACTTTCTTGTACCACATCCCTAGGTACCAACGAGATCTTGAGGCGATTTTGAAGAAACCAAGCTCGAAGACACCACCGGGAGATACGAGCGTTCTGTTGCTTGAGATTGTAAGAGATTCTGTAGACGACAAAGTGTTGAGATAGACCGAAAGAGCAGGATGAAATAGAATCAAGACAACGAAGACGAGCAAGAAGGAGAAGGTGTAAGAATGGCGGTAGATGTTTCGTACACCTTCCACCTCTCTCTCTCTCTACCACTCTCTTTTTTTTTCTCTTCTTATATTTATGAAACTTTTCCACGTAATGATCTAAGCCAGTGAAAGTGGTTTTGGTTCTAAATGCATATACTTTATATCTTAATCCTACGTTACGTTTGCAAGGAAATCCGAAAATTACATTATTATCACGAACCTAGCCTAGGAGACAAGCAAAATGTTGTCTTCCACATTCCATGACTTTTTCATCCCTTCAATTAATTCATTTCCACAAACTTTTATCACTGGTCAACAACTTTTAAACCTACACATGATTAATTTCTCACGCGGCCAACTTAACTAACATATGTTTTTTTTTTTTTTTTTTGGTATCTTTGGTATCCGGGTCTGAGGAGTCGACCGAACAGTCACCGACCAGTCCTGGGGCCCAAACCGATGGTCTGGGCTTTGTCCAGCTATATCCAGTTATTCTGAAGATCTAATCCGAACGGAAAACCCGACTATCCCCTCGAAAGGGGTCTAGAGCCCTAACGGAAGGGATGTTAAATCCGTTGTGGCTAAGTGGTTTCGAACCCAGATCCGTATTGGGACTTACCTCCCTCAAGTACCACTGGGATACGACCACTTGGTTAACTAACTATGTTTGTTCAGAAACTGTGGTGTTCTCATATGTATCTTTCGATACATTCAAAGTATGTTAGAAAATTGTCGTACCTTTGTTCAAAGGATTTATAAGATTAAAGTCAATTGTTGGCCTAAAGAAAAGAACCTACTATAGTCGAATTTGATTCAACTTAACTGAATTGATGAGAACGAAACAATTTACAAAAAAAGTAATCACAGTTTAAATCGAACTAAACCAAAACATGACGAATTAGATTGAAATGGCTAAATCATTTTTGTAATTTTCTCAAATTTGTACGAATAAAAAGTTATCAATTAAACCTGAACCAAATTGGTACTTGAAGCGAACTGGAATCGAAAACCAAAACCGGTAGAAACTAACAAATGACAATCAAATTCAATGTTGACTTTCAATTTTTAATAAATTTATAATTCAAAATCCAGAAAAAGAAATTCGATACCCGAATTTGAAAAATCTTCACTTTGAGACCATTTTATGTTTATTTTATTTGGTTCAATGTACGTTAATGCTAAAAAAAATGTACGTTAGTGCTAAAAGATTCGTTGAGGTCTCTCAAAAAGAAATTCGATACCCGAATTTTGGAAAATCTTCACCATGCTGCCTCATCCCAAGCCTCCTTAGAACTATTAGACCTCGATTGTTTTGGTTTTTTGTAGTAGTTGTATGATTGTATCACACTCTCACTAATTACTCGGTTTTTAAAAGTTAACAACTAAAACCTTTCAGAATGGCTGTGAACATAATCATTACTCGTGAATCATGATGATCCATAGTACCATTAGGTCCAATACTCACCTTTCTGTTTTTCTGTTACCATATTTATATTTGTACACATGATCAAACTGGACCACATTTTTTAGCTAACTATTTCACGAGTTTTCATTATATTTGTTCATTTGAGAAATATACAACACTAACAATTAAGTTATTATTTCATAGAAAACTAGAAAAAGTCAACACTTATTTGAGCTACGGGTAGATAAGCTAGAAATGTTTTCTATTACCAATTGTACAACACTAAGAGCTCAAGAAGTACCCAAAGTCATACCAAACAACAAATTGTATTGCATTGTTATAACCATAATAGTCTCTAATTTGATGTCTGATGTTCTTCGGATATATCACATTGATGTCCTCAAAATAATCATATCAACCCGCCCATTGTTGTCGGAGGACTATTTTGCCGCCATGCACAGGTTTCCCAAAAAGATAATTATAGAAATACAAGTTTAATTCAAGAAAACCAAATCATGCACCTAGTAACAACACTTTGCTATTGAGATTCACAGATAAAATTATGTGTTTAAACATATTGGTTCGGTGAGTTTCAAATTACCGAGGGTCAAGAACCGATACAGTTAGTTGATTCACTGACCAAGATTCATCGTAGCGCCGTTTACACGACGATGATTCAGTGTCAAGAGGACTTCTTCCGACGCAATAACCGGGAGCCTTAGGCTGCGGGATAGCCGTTGTTTCGCTTCCGAGCATCAAAACCACCGATGACATCGTTGGTCTGTCCTCCGCACGCTCTTGAACACACAAGAGACCAATTTGTATACACCTTAATATTTCACGTGGCCGGAACGTTGATGATGAAGAATCTACGATGATCGGATCTACAATCTCTAGTCCTTCTCCTTCTTTCCAATTCCTCCACGCCTGTGCACAAAGATTAGTGTCATCATAAGAATATGAATGCGGGAAACAAGATAGACTTGAAGTGGTTTTAAAGCTTACACAACCGAGAAGATTCATGTCATGATTAGAGTTGTAGAATCCTTTGTTCCTTTTGCCACTTATGATCTCAAGAAGCAAAACCCCAAAGCTGAAAACATCAGATTTCGTAGAGAATATTCCATCCATTGCGTATTCAGGAGACATGTAGCCGCTGCATGACAAAGATTAACGTCAAACGTTATTTAGTAAAGTTGGATATAAGACAAAATCTCTTTGTTGTTTTAGAGAATGTGTGCTTACTAAGTTCCGACCACCTTCCTCGTATTAGCTTCTGTCTCGTCCCGTCCAAAGATCCTAGCCATCCCAAAATCCGAGATTTTCGGAGTCATGTCTTTATCAAGCAAGACATTGCTCGCTTTCAAGTCTCTATGGATAATCCTAAACCGGGAATCTTGGTGAAGATATAGAAGTCCTCTAGCAATACCATTCGTAATATCAAATCTCTTTTGCCAATTTAGGTTACAGCTTCGAGTTTTGTCTACATATCATTCATAACCGGAAAATGATTCAACTTATTTCAAAAGATATTCATATGTTAGAACAGAGCATGTAGAAAATTGAGGCAATACTAACCAAAGAGATGAGAATCTAGGCTTAGATTCTCCAAGTACTCATAGATCAACATTTTCTCTCCCTCATCAACGCAACATCCAAGAAGACGAACAAGGTTTATGTGCTGAAGCCTTGCAATGAGTCTCACCTCGTTCTTGAACTCATCAGTTCCTTGAGCTGACATTTTCGATAGTCTTTTCACAGCGATTTCTTGTCCGTCAAGTAACCTTCCCTATTATCACACATAGGCTTGGGCATAAAAACCGACCCGAAGGACCCGATCCGGAACCGATCCGAAAAAGACATAAATATCCGAACGGATCCTAAAATCCTATATCCGAAAGAACCGGAACCGACACAGTACCGAACCGAGAACCGAATGGGTACCCGAAATATCCAAAATATAATTATATTCCTAAAAAAGTTTAGTCTTAAAATAACTAAATTATAAATTACAATTATTAACCAAATATATTAGTTATATTTAGCACAAAATAACCAAAATTTAATATATCATAATATATGTAGTTATATTTTGTAATATTGAATATATTTTATAAAATTTAACTCAATTTTATTTAAATTAAATTATTATTTTATTTTTATTTTGTCTTTTATAGCTAAAATTTGGGTACCGAGAACCGACCCGGACCCGAGAGGAACCGATCTGGACCCGAACCGATTATGACACGGTTCCTATATGGATAAAAAACTTTTATATCCGTAAGACCCGAAACCGAAAGAACCGACCCGGAACTGATCCGAGTACCCATTATGCCCAGGCCTAATCACACATTTGAATTTTTTTTTTTTTTTGGTAAAACACACATTTGAATATTTGACTACACAATGAAATTTTGTGCAAAGATAGATTCTGAATTAATTTTTCATTCAGTTATTACCTTGTAAACTATACCAAAACCACCTTGGCCGAGCTTGTTGGCGTTAGAAAAATTGTATGTGGCCATCGCAACTGCTTCAAAATCCATCAACGGCAATTCAAGATCCTCTGTTCTGTTGTCACTAGATATGTGTCTCCTACTTGATATTACCACTTCATTCATTAGCAAATCTCGGCTTCTCACCTGATCAGCTGTTTCATTCAGACAAAACAAAACCAAGAATTATGAATATACAAAATTTACATACAGTAAGTATAGGAATTGAAAAGTTTACTGATTTACCAAATGATGTTTCAATGGCTATCGGTCGCTTCTGCTTCCTTTTCCAAAAGCGGAAGATTATGAAAAATAAAAGAAGCAAAACGCTCACTCCAGTAATCGAACCTATGATTTTTGCATTACTGTTTCGATTGTCCTCTGAAATAGTGAAAGAGAATACAATCGTTAGTATCCTATCTGGCGGCTGACGTGGTCTGGTGAATCATGGATTACATCACCTGCCTTTTTTTCGTTCCAACTATAAAAAAAGATTAATGTCAAAGTCTCTTGTAGGTAGTAGTTGACAAAAAAAATGGACGAAAAACAATACGAAAACTTTTTCGTACTTTTTATTATAATACGAAAAAGAAACTAAATTTAGCTTTGGACTTTGATATCCCAAAAAATAAATCATAAAACAATGGTCAACCTAAAATCCTTTTTTTTGCTAATGGATCTAGCTTAAACCGTACAAATTTAATTTTTGTGAGTATATGTTAATCAAAATTCCAATTGACTCAAATTTCTTAATCATAAAAGAATAATACTCCAATGTAGTGGCCAAGAATATAAGAACAAAAATGTCGGAACATATAATTGTATTAGAATCAAATGCAATGACCAAACAAGTCAACATCTCAATCGATTATAAAAAGGTTATTAAATTCAAAGTCTGTTAAACAACAACAATGTAAACTTTGACTAGCAATTTTCAACAGAAGTGTGAAGTATCACGTTCTACCGAACAAACAAGGAAAATAACGAACTATATATTCACAAGCCAAGTTAATTACCAACCTTCTAATCCGTATAAAAACGTTTTCCATTTTTGGGCGTCACAACTATAATGTGAAAATATAAATTGTAGAAATATATCAGATTTTTCATTTATGATGTCTTTTTAGTTTTTAGTTATTTGAATTCGTTTATCAAATTTGACATTGAAAGGATAAGGAACTAACCGAGATCATTAGCAGCCAATCTAACGTAAAGATCCTGACCTCCCTTAGCATAATTCCGGATATCCGAAATCTCTCCGGTCCAAATCACACAACCGGATCCTCCATTTCGGATATCCGTATTCGCAAACGCCGTACAATCACAATCCTTCTTGCACTTCTCTCCACACTCTTTAATCCCAATCCCTCTGTCCACACTCGTCGCATTAGTATCCGGCAATTTCATTTTCTTCAACCGCAAAAACCCATCTCCACCGTCACACCTCAGTTGCGTCTTCCTCACGCAACCATCCGACCCATCTCTCAACCCCCAAACCTGCGGATTCCTCGGCACAAACCCTTTGATACAGTTACAAACCGGTGACGTGTTCGAGTCGCAGTAACCGTAACTCCCACACTCTTTGTACTCATCGCATTGATCCTTCGGTGCGAGCCAAAACTGGTTCCAACTCTGCGCTGTCTCAATCCAAGTGAACCGTTGTAACAATCCGGAGGAGCTTAAGCTTAATCTCGAGTAAATGTTACTCTTCGTGACTCTGAATGAATACGTCACTTCATCATTACTCGCAGTGAAATTGAAAACCATGTAATCAAACGGTTGCATTTCCGGTACGCCGCTAAACCGGATTCCATTCCATGGACCGCTCCGGTACACTCGTGACTCTCTGTTCCATAGAAAAGCCTCAGGGAAGCCCCTGGTTTCGAGTTTGAACGAGAAATCGCCGCTTGACGGATCATCCGGAGTTTTCCACGATCTCAAGAATCGGTTAAATCCGGTTTTGAGATCCCAGCCGAGCTTCATCTCCGGCAGTAGAGTATCAGTCGGAAAATCGAAACTCTGCCATAGAACTCCATACGGATTGTTGTTGTTGGAGTCTCTGAGCACGAAGTTACCGTTGTCGAGAAGCTCAGCCATCGCCGGCGATCTCAAATCTCCTCCGGTCAGATTCGTCGACCAAACCGGTGTATCGGATTGATCCAAAATGACGAGATTGTTCTCGGAGATTTTTAGAGTGCCGATGGAATTGGAGAGAGGAGTGTCTCTGTTTGCAACCCATACGTACGTTCTCTTGGAGATTGTCTTGTACCAAATCCCGAGATACCAACGAGAATTTGAACCGGTTTTGAAGAAACCGAGCTCGAAGATGTTACCAGGAGACAAAATGGTTTTGTTGCTTGAGATTGTCAGAGATTCTGTAGCCGACAAAGTGTTGGCAGAGACAGAGAACGCAGGGAACAGAAGAATGAAGACGGAGAAGACGGAGAAGGTGTAAGAATGGTGGTAGTTTGGTACATCTCTCATGTCTCTACACCACTTTCTTATGTTCTTCTATTCTTGTTTTTTCTTTTACACTTTCTTGAGAAAATTTTATGTAAATTTGAGGAAGAAAATAAAACAATTTCTTTGGAGATATCGGAAATGTTTTGTGTGAAATGCATGAACTTTAATAATATTTATTTTCAGGCTTTTTTATTTTCTTGGTCTTCTAGCATAATCGCATTTGAACATATCTGGATGTACCAATTGTACAGTCGATTTCGTAGTTGACTTGATAAAATACAAAGTCTTTTGGTTTTTGTTCATATGTTTTTTTTTTTCTTTTGTCAGGCTTCTTTTCCTTTTCAGCTTTTCTACACGTCGTTTTTCTCTATATATTCAAAATTATTGGTCAGCATTTTTCTGCAGTTTTCATAATAAACTGACATTTACTCTCATGATTTTTGTGTTTTAGTCAACCGTTTTTGTGTGTGTACGAGAGTTACATAAGAATCAGTGTGTTTTGTGATAAATAACGCTCTCTCTTTTTTAGTTTTTGTTTCCTTCCCAATAAAATAACACACATTCACCAAACAAACTCAGCTTTAATTTCCTTCCGTTGTTCCGCATGCATTCGTTGAAGACAAAAAAACAAGGGGTCGTTCCATGTTTACATTGACTTTTCTTCTCTCTAACTCTTTAGTTTATTCCTTCCAAATAATTTCATAAATGGGCAAAATCTTAAAAGATTAATACTTGTTTTTAAATTATAGCTTTAACAGTCAATTTGCTAGTCGAACCTATTATGAGCAATGCAGAGCCTACTACGACATAATCACATAAATGCTAGTCGAACCTATTATTGCTCACACTTTGTTAGGGACGCGGCAACTCTGGATCAAATGGTTACTCATTTGGAAGAATGGTCTGGTCTACTCTGTTGTATTGGCTTGTCTCACTCATGGAATAAATCGGATGTCGGTTATGGTTGTGTTCAGAGTCCTAACAATATTTTCTTTTAAAAAATGATTTAAAAATAAAATAAAAGTAGACTTATGTATTATTGAATTTAATACATGTAATATCCGATATTTTTTAGAATCGAATTGGCTTGCTCATGGAATAAAATCATAAATCGGACGCCGGTTATGAACAAGAATGATGTTAGCTAAGCTAGGAAACAAGACTTAATAATTCTTATTTTTGTTTGTTAGTACTTCTAGTTCACAATGGTTTAGTGTGCAATGTAAACAACATTAATTTTACATTATCAATTAAAAAGAATTGTTTTCTTGTTGTAAAAAAATAGACGAATTGACATCAGAATAAATAAATAACTTTTTGGCTTTATCAACATAACTTCAGCAACCAATATTCCATTATCCTAGCTACTTAGTTAGCCTAAAAACACTATAGTTTCACAAGAACTATAACAAACTTTACAATTTTTTTTTTTAAACACACAAATGACAAAACACAAAATGTAATCTATCGTCCAAGAACAACAGTGGAAGTGATCTCATTAGAAGAAACAATGTATTGCTGGCTCGAATCAAGAGCAAAGTTTACATCAATTGAGTTTCTTCTGTTAGAAGTAAACGTCGGCTGTCTTGCCACAGGGAGCGTCGCTGTGTCACTCTCTAACATCAGCAAAACCGCAGCCATGTTTGGTCTCTCCGCAGCCGAATCTTGAACACACAGCATTGCCACGTGTATGCATCTCAAAGCCTCACGCTTATTGCACGTGGCCCTTATCTTTGGATCCACAAGCTCCTCTGACCTCCCTTGTGTATACAGATACCAAGCCTGCAAGCATTCCAATTGGCACCAATTCACACCATATAAACCAAACCAAACCAAAATGTGTAAGAACAACAGTCTTGGGAAACTTACGTAACCGATTAGACTTCCATGTTCAGAAGATCGAAGACTTGTGTTCCTCTTTCCACTAATGATCTCTAGCAACAAGACACCGAAGCTGTATACATCAGATTTCACCGAGAATAGACCTTCCATAGCGTATTCTGGAGACATGTATCCGCTAAATTTGCAGAGACACAACAAAAGCAAACCAAAAATGTCAACAACATTATCATTCCTCTGTTTTTGTGTGTTATGTGAATTGTTTGTTTTACTTACTAAGTTCCAACGACGCGAACAGTGTTAGCTTCATTTTGGTTACCACCAAAGATCCTCGCCATACCAAAATCCGATATCTTTGGATTCATCTCTGCATCTAACAACACATTGCTAACCTTCAAATCTCTATGAATGATTCTCAATCTTGAATCTCTGTGTAGATAAAGCAGCCCTCTCGCAATCCCTTCTATTATCGCAAACCGCAGTTTCCAGTCTACCAACGCTTGTTTCGTTTCATCTGTTTACATTCAAAAGAACAAGAAGTCAAGAACAAGAAGAAAGAATCAAGATATGATCCAAGGTAAGGAAACATACCGAAGATGAAGAAATCTAAGCTTTTGTTAGGCATATACTCGTACACAAGCATTTTCTCTTCTCCTTCAAAGCAACATCCAAGTAACCTCACAAGATTCCGATGTTGAAGCTTCGCTATGAGAATGATCTCATTCTTGAATTCATCAACTCCTTGTCCAGATTTACCAGACAGTCTCTTCACAGCTATCTCTTGTCCATCTTCAAGAACACCCTGACCACACACACAAAAAAACATCAGAAATCTGAAAACACAAAGACTCTCGGACAAGAAACAGATGTAATTAACCAACCTTGTAGACTGGTCCGAATCCGCCTCTTCCGAGCTCATTCTCTCTGCAGAAGTCATTAGTAGCTTTCACTATAGCACTCAGAGAGAAAACAGGTAACTCTGATGTGTTAACCGCTTTGCCTTCAATCATTATATCTACTGATCCTGAAAACGCCGTTGTAGTGTCTTTGCTCTTGCTCATATCAACAACAACAACCGATGTATCTGTGTCCTTACCTGAAACATCTGTAGATAAACAATAAAAAATGACTAATCAAGTCAATCAAGATCTTACATGTTTTGGTAAAGAGAAACGAAGAAAGTTTAGTACCTTTCTTTCTCTTGAATCTCCACAAAAGCAGAGAAAAGATTCCTAACAAAACCACACCAGCAAGAACAACAACAACAACAATCACCACAATCTTTGACTTCTTCTTCTCCCTTATTTCAGAATCAGCAAGACGGATGTGAAGCGATGACCCACCAGCTTCAAACTGCTGTATATCGACCAAATCTTGGTTCCAAATCATGCAACCAATACCACCAACAAAAGTAAAAGCAGAGCAAGAACAATTCCTCAGACATCTCCTCTTGCAATCCTCAGGATCAGCAAGACTATGCTCAGGAGTCTCGAAATCAGGCAGCTTCACAGATTTCAGAGTCAAGAACTCATCCTCTCCACCACCACCACCAACACTAACATTCCTCTCACACTTCAACAACGTTCTTCTCCTACAACCTCTACTCCAATTCCCAACAGAGACTTGCTCATAGCCTTTAACACAGCTACAGATTCCATTAGCTCCTTTCATATCACAGATACCAAACTTCCCACACCGATTATACTTATCACACTCACTATCAGGCTCAGACTGAAACTTAGTCCATCTCTTCAAAGTCTCATTCCATCTCAACTCCTCTTCAGTCCCGTTATAAAGAACTTTAAACCTAAGCAACACATTTGGATCAGAAGGAACATACGTGAAGTACACGCTACCTGTTTCATCAGGAGGAGAAGAAAGCTTAAACCCGTAGAGATAGTTCGTCAACAGAGACATATTGGGAATCCCAGTGAAAACCGCTGAGTTCCATTGCCCGCTTCTCCATTTCCTCGTCTTGTTCCTTCCCCAAAGCACAATCTCTGGAGCTCCTGAAGGATCAATCCCTAACGTGTAGTTTCCAGGAGAAGGATCGGTTTCTGATTTCCATGAGACGAAAGCGTGGTTATCTCCGGTTTGGGGATTCACACGAACTCTCATCTGAGGCAAAAACGTATCCGTTGGGTGATTGAAACTCTCCCAAATAACTCTGTCTGTGTTAGCTTCCGTCAGTTTGAAGTTACCAGTATCGTGTATAGCTCCGATTCTGTTGTTGTTGTTGGTTGATTCGATGTTTGAAGAAGACCAGATTGTGATGTTCTGTCCGTTTAGTAACACGAGATTCCCGGCGTTGCTTATCGTGAGGACTCCGGATTTGTCTGAAATCGGATTTGCTCTGTTTGCGACCCATACGACAGCTTTATCTTCGATGTTGCCGTACCAAATCCCTAGGTAACGGAGAGTTGAGACTCCGGGACTGAAGAATCCGAGCTCGAATGTCTTTCGTGGAGAGACTAAAGGTTTGTGATTGGAACCGTCTCGGAGAAACTCGCCTATTTTGATTGTATCTGCAGCTATGGAAGATTTGCAGAGGAATAAGAAGAAGGAGAAGAGAGAAATAGAAAGTGTGGTTTTGCGAAAGTTTGTCATTTTCTGGGTTTTTCCTTTGGGGAGAAGAAGAAGAAGAAGAAGAAGAAGAAGACCCAAAGTGAGGATTTTTGAGATAAAGGATTGGTTTTGGGAATTGCTTAAAGAGGAAAGAAGAACAGAGGAAGCATAATAGTAGGAAGCTGACAAGAGAGACGAACACAGAAAAAAAGGACGTGGCTGTTTGTGTGAGACTGCTTTAGAAGTTTCGTTTTCAGGTTGGAAAAGTTGGACCAGAGAATTAAAACTACTGTAGAAACTTTGGTCTATATTTGTTGGTGAAACAACTTTATAAAGTCAAATAATGTGAATTAAAATGACTTTTGTGAGGTATATTATTTGCGTTTCAATCCACCTTCTTCTTTTCTTTTGTAGTTTTTTTTCAACATTATACAACCTGCAGACATACGTTTCCTGGGGTATGACCTAATTGTTTTGAATTTGTTCCTTTTTAATCTTAAAAATCAAATGATACATAGTTCACTGTTCATAGAGATAAATACATTGGTTATATGATCCAAGAGGCTTTGCATCTGTTCAGTACATATTTTCGGATAAATAATACGAGAACTCGAGGATTGTGTAGACCTCCTTAACTCGTTCTTGGCTTGTTATGGTTATGACCACCAGTTTAAGATTTTTACACAAGAATATTTGAACTTTTCTTCTTTTTTTTGGTTTTCAAGAATATTTGAACTTACGTACAAGATTTCATTCAATTGACTGCTGCTGACCACTGACGTCCATAGTCCGTAGTTTTTAATGGGGATTTAATCTTGTACGTAATCTAAAATATTCAAATGCGTAAATTGAATGAAAGCCATCATTTGATCTTTAGTAGAATATATAAGGCTCAAAAAGTTTTGTATCAAAAATGTATAAGGTTGGACAGTCCACTTCAAATATAATTTTTTTTTCAAAAAAGAAGTTTACAAGTGGAGCAGTTGGATTTCTATATTAGTTTAGTAGAATATTGCTTTTTAATTTGATGTCTAAGTGCTTATTGCCTTTGGCCGCCACATTGACTCATGACTCGTGTTGGTCAAATGATCTCACATCGGATTTGAAGTTTTGGATGGTCTTCTCTTTATTTTAGTACGCATGAAAAAAATTCTACCTACGTCATATGTTCTTGCATACAACTTTTAACTTTTGTTTTACCGCCTAAAATCCAAAAGTTATCCAAAAGACCAAAACTTAAATATTACTCTTTCTCCATAAAATTATTTCTACAAAGGAATATCGATGCGGCCAAACCTCAAGTGGATCCACTGGCAAGTGGAAATGCCAGATCGATTTTAGAGTTTGCATTATTGATTTATTTAGTGGATTAGTTGAAAAAAGGTGAAAATTTACACACACAAAATAGTGTTATTGAGAGAATGTGTCTACTAGGCTACAATCTACAACAACTGTAAAGAATAAATAAAGAAATCAGTTTTCCATTATAAAAATAAAAAGACTCCAAAGAGGAGGGTCTACTCGCACAATCCGGAGCATGACTCATGAATTCTATCGCAAGATTAGTAGGAGACTTCGGATTTGGGAGACAATGACAAATGAAACTTTGAAAGCATACCAATACTATTTTGTTTTTGATATGTAGTTTAGATATAGACTTCTACTAACCAAAACATTATTTACTATTTAACACGTGATACAATTATGATGTTTACATGTTTTCTTAAGTTAGATTTTACAAGGATATCAGACATATTAAAATAAAATTTGTACTTACAAGTTATTGTCTTGTTGAACCATTGACGTCATGGGTAGTAAAGACAACCCTTTATCAAAAAAAAAAAAAAGTATTAACCTTATAAAGTGAAAAGCTTGGAAAATGCACTTAAAATGGTGTTGACTCAATGACTCAGAAAATTTTAAGTGAATGAAATTTAAATCTGAATTTGATTGATTTCAGTTGATATGGACAAATCATGCTGTCTGAATATTCACTAAAACAAAATCCATACAAAAAAACTTACAAAGAAGAATCAAAATATATACAGATTAAGAAGCTCTTTAACGAGGAGACAACTCAGAAACAGTCACATCATTCGACGACATTTGTAACCCTTCCGTCGAAGAAGAAACATTAGAAGGAATAACATTCTCTAACACAAACGCAGGCCTTGAAGGCGTCGGGAGAGTAAAGGAATTGCTATTGAGCATGAGAACAACCGAAGCCATTGTTGGTCTAGTCGCTGCACTCTCTTGAACACATAACAGACCAATGTGTATGCATCTCAATATATCGTTTCTTGATCCCGTCGTTAAACTTGGATCGATCACGTTTAGTATAAGATCTTCTCTCCAGCTTCTCCATACCTAAGAATAAAATAAACAGAGTTACACATGAACAGAAACCGAAACCATATCACTAGTTTGGTGTTGTGTACTTACCCAACTAAGAAGATCTTCTGCATCTTCATCATCGTTAGATCGACCATTGTTGTTTTCCTTACCTGTAATGATCTCAATGACTAACACACCAAAGCTGAAAACGTCTGTTTTGACTGAGAATTGTCCGTGCATGGCGTACTCAGGAGCCATATAGCCACTAATAAGATGGAAAAGAGATAACCGGTTTAAACACCGATGCGTTCTTGGATTTAACAAGTAAAGTAAGATGGATAAAACTTACTAAGTTCCTGCAATTCGGTTTGTGAATCGATGTGTCATGGTTTGGCCTCCTGTGTCAAAGAGTTTAGCTAATCCAAAATCAGCTATTTTCGGATTCATTTCTCTGTCTAAAAGAATGTTGCTAGCTTTAAGATCACGGTGGATAATCCTGTAACGAGAGTCTTCATGAAGGTAAAGAAGTCCTCTAGCAACTCCTCCGATCATTTTGTATCGCATTCCCCAATCCAAAAGTTGACGCTTCTCAAGATCTGCATCAGAGCAGCAAAGATCAACACAGAGCAGAAGAAGAAGGTAGTAGGATCATGAGGAGAGAAAGGAAGAAAAAGATTACCGAAGATGAAATGGTCAAGACTAGCGTTCTTGATGAACTCATAGACAAGGATTCTTTCTTGCCCTTGTATGCAGAAACCTAAAAGCCTAACAAGGTTCCTGTGGTGAAGCTTTGCAAGTAGAACAATTTCGTTCTTGAATTCAATGTCTCCTTGGCCAGAAGTACCAGATAATCTCTTCACTGCGATTTCTTGGCCATTAGAGAACACTCCCTGAGACATACATAACTCCCAAGTTTATAACATAAATAAACCAAAGTTGCCAGTAAGAATTTTGGTGGAAGAAACTTACCTTATAAACAGAACCAAACCCACCACGTCCGAGTTCGTTCTCGGAAGAAAAGTTATTTGTTGCGGCCTTTAGATTTTCAAAGTCAACTAACAGTGTCTCTGTATCTGAGAACTCATCCTCGGTAACTGATCCAGAATTCTCAAGAACTGAATAAGCAGACAATGTTCTCAGGATTAGAGTTTACCCTTTTCAACAGGATAACACACAACAAAAAAGAAGCAAGAACATTGTGTTACCTTTGATTCTGTCCCTAGACTTGTTCTTCTTCCTCTTCAAGACCAAGCATAGGCAAATTGAAAATAACAAAACAAGAACTATCGGAATCACTATTGCAATAGCGACTTTAGATCCACCTTTGCCCTTTCCTGCAATAAAACATTCACTGTCTTAAACTTCGAGACAAAAACATTTGCAACTAAAACATAAGACACATTCAAGCATTTCTCTGTACCTGTTCTTTCAGGTTTTGCAGCTGATGTTGGTGAATCAGCAGGCTGGATTGCGGGTGGATCAGGCTCTAGGTCAGCCTCAAACTCATAGAATCGGAAGTCACTCTCAAACCGGAAGTTACAACTAGGACAAAACCACCTAAGACCAATCTCACCATCACAACAAGTTGAAATACGCTCAAACCCATAAACTAGACAGTCTTTGCAATCCTGTTCAGACAAATCCGGCGTACACTGCGCAGCGCCGTAGAATCTACGGTACCCCACCGAAGCAGAACCATTCCCTTGAGCGTATTTCCTATTCAACCCACCAGCTGCAGCAATATCTTTGAGCCTATTCAATAGTTCTCTCTGCAGACGCTCAAAGTCATCTCTGTTTTCTGATATTTTTCTACCAGCAATAAAAGCCTGAGTTGGGTAAAGCTCTTTTCTTCCGTAGGTTGTCCTGTTCGAGTAATAAAACATACAGTGCGTGGACCACACAACAGCTTGTTTGGACCGCGGACACAGCACGGTGAGGTTTGTTGCAGCTGTCTGGATACAGCTGAGACAATCTTCTCTTTTGACTTCTCTTCTACATAGACCAGTTGCATAAGCTCTTTCTCCAGACGAGTCTCCAGAAGAGAGGTTGTAGAAGCCATAAGGTTTGGATGTTTGTAAGGAGAGAGAGGAGACAAGGCGGTCGAGATTTTCGGCAAAAGTGCTGTTGGCCGTGAAGTTGCCTCGATCTACAACACATCTGAACCTTGAAAACTGATAGGCATCTACCTGAGCTAAGGCGTGAAATGGAACAAACGTTAGCACACAGGCAAATAGGAAGAAGATCACTCTAACATGTTCCATGGGAGCTTGGAGTCGTCTTCTGTAATCTTAAGAGAAAACACCAGAACGTAAGAATCTCGATACGTTAAACGTCGATCCAATTTGACCAGGAAAAAAAAAAAGGCAAGTGTGTTCTTTGAACTATTTCAAAATCTGACAGGGGAAAGAACACAACTTTGCTAATCAAAAACAATTATTAAATTCAAGAGCAGAAACACAAGTGGAAAAGCTTTGTGAGGTTTTTGGGTGCTGCATGAATGATGTATTAAAAAAAATACCAATATATATATATATAACTAACGAGTTGGTGTAGTGAACCAGGTCAACGGCGTGGACATGTTCTTTGAATAAGAAATGACTCACTTTCTTTCCTCTCAAGCACGGTACTACCAATAAGAACTGAAAGAAAATGAAAGATACTTTTCAAACCAAGTATAAAATTAAAACTAATCTTCCATTAATGGTAAACAAAGCCTATAGACTCACTGCAACTTTTCGTAAACAAATGTGTTTACTGCATGTTGTTATAATGGAACGTATGTATGTAATAATATGTATATCCGGGTTTAGACAATAGAAGAGCTGTCAAACTCAAAAACCCGAAGGCTTAATCCATAAAATTAGCAGGACAAGAAATGCAATTGGAAGTTGGAACTTTACCAGTACTTTCGTGGAAAAACCTGCATTATGCAAACCAGAAACCACCAAAATGTTAAATTTTTAGCACATGTATTGCTTTGGCCTTTGTGCTGACAAAGAAAAGAAACAAACAAAAAAATATATTGGTTTGTCGAATTTCAAGTCGCAAGATAACAAAGGCATGTAGAAAGATCATGTTGAACGGAATAGCAGCAAAACCACTTGTCTTTTCTTGGAAATGGCAGCAAAAGTAAACAGGTGGGAATAGCCCAAATTGAAACCACTGAATACATAAATCACGGCAAGACTGAATCCATTGGAAGCATCGGAAAGAAAAAGAAGAAGAAGAAGAAACAATAATGTGAGTCTCTACCATGACCTCCTCTGTTCCCTTACGCCATTTAAGACGTTGAAATGAAATCCACGAGAGCCAATTCGACGACTTTGCTTGTACCCGTGTCGGATTTCTTAGCTTCGACGAGAATTAAAATCTGAGGTCGAGCTGGTAGCTCCATCAATCCACCGAAATTGAGAGTTCGGGAACTTGTGATGGCAGCACACTTGGGGAACCGAAACGATGATGATTTCGGGTTCTGAGTTCTCAATCTGCGCCATAAGGAGCGAAGATCAATGATCACAGCGATTCCCCTAATTCCCAGACGGCCAAGTCTAGCGACGACGACGGATTTTGATCTGAGTGGAACAGAAGGAGTCGCCGGAGAAGAAGAGTGAGGACGGCCTCAGTTAATGAAACAGATTGAAAGTTGAATCACACGAAAACCGGGATAAATCGAACCGGAAACTTAATCAACCGAGTCCAAGTCCCGGTTATTGTTTTGCGTAAACAGTTCGGCTCGGTTAATATTTAATTCAGTTAAATCGGGTCCCGCAATTTACTTCATCCGGTTTAGGTAATAAATAACAAGTAAACAACCATTGAATCGGAAAATCGTCCGATCTCAAGCCCCGGAGAGGAGAAGCTTCAGATTTTTCAATAGAATATACATGTAAACCAACGAAAGGGAATAATACTTTTTGTATTAGATCCAATTTCATGTACATACAGAAACAGAGCAAGAATCAAGCAATGTCTGTTGTAATGTTACACTCTGTTTCTTGGCTCGCATTATGAATAGATTTCTTACATGTTTGATACATTATGAATCTCACTTTGCAAACACCACTAAAATGAATAGTAAAATAACTTCATGAATACAGAAATTGTGTGCTTTAATTCAATCTTTGCTTGCAATCTTTTAAACCAGAGACAGAGAGAGGGAAAAAAAAAAAAAAGATTCTCCTGAAACTGAGGAGAGACATTGAGTAATTTTGGAGATAAGACATCAGTAGTCATTTCTGTTTTAGGGTTTAAAATTTCCTTCCTAAAAACTCTTTTCTTTAAATCTCCATTGAAACATGACAAAACCATTACTAAATTCTGCAAATGTTCCTTCCCTTTCCCTTAAACTCAATTTAGGATATCATTCTTTGCTTTCCTTCCAATGATCATTTCTCTTACAAACCATTCTTCCATTACATTACTCTATTCTTCCTTTACACCAACAATGATGACAATGTTAACCTTATGAGACCAGAGTCTGCAAAAAAAATCATAAAATCTCTTGTGGAAAAAGTTAACAACAGCTTAAACACACAATGTTAGCTTTCTCAAAGATGACTAGATTCCAAGGGTTGATTCAAACTCAAGCAACCATGTCGTTAATCAGAAACTACCGTAAACAAGCTATCGAAGTTGTGTGGAAGAATCCAGAAATCGGATGTACAAAGCTAAACTTTGACGGTTCCAGAGGAAGCAAAGGACAAGCCAGCATTGGAGGGATATTCAGGAACCACAAAGCCGAGTTCCTTCTCGGATACTCAGAGTCCATAGGGGAAGCCACAAGCACTGTGGCAGAATTCGCAGCGCTCAAGAGAGGCCTCGAGCTGGTTCTTGAGAACGGGTGGACCGATCTATGGCTCGAAGGAGATGCAAAGATCATAGTTGACATCATCTCCAAGAGAGGGAGATTGAGATGTGAAGAAGCGAGAAAACATGTGAACTACATCAATGTGGTTATGCCTGAGCTTAGCAACTGCGTGTTAAGCCATGTTTATAGAGAAGGGAATAGAGCAGCTGATAAATTGGCTAAGTTAGGACATCAGTTTCAGAATCCCAAAGTCTGGAGGGTGAAGCCTCCGGAGATAGTCCTACCGATTATGCATGAAGATGCACAAGGTAAGATTGTTCTTAGAACAAAATGAGACCAAACGATTTTTGTATATTATCATTAGATTTTGTCAATAACAAGCTAGCATATGTAAATAGTAGTTAACTTTTGTAACATTAACTGTAATATCAATGCTTCTTTATTATTAATCACCAAACAACAATCTGAATGGCAAATGTGAATTCCTTATTGTTTCTCTTTGTTCTTGTTTGTTTATTTCTCTATATATTCTTACATTCTACAAGTCCTTGAAAACTGTAACTCAGCAGCTGAATCTTTCCGTGAAGAATACTGTGTAATTCTGAATAGTCAAGAATCAAGATCGGTACCAATAGCTTCTATCTCTCTATAATCTTGCTGCAGCGGTTGAATCTGAAGAAGTGAGTTCCCGGATTTCCTTTACAGCTTCAATGATTTTATGAATCGCCATTTTCTTCACCTGGATTTGGCAAACAATATATATACATAAACATGTTTAACACCACTCCTTTTTTACTAAATCTTGTTTAAAAACCAAGGAAACTTACCTCAATCTTGTTTGCTTTCGTTTTGACGCTCTGAGGAATTTGATTAAGCTCGTCCACTCGTTTGATAGATTCAGCAACGTGCTCAGGTGAAAGAAAACTCAGAACAGCATTTACGCAAGACTAGCAAAAATACATGCAAAAGTTGTGTTAATTAAGAAGACTATTTGAGATTATAAAGAAGGTAAGAGCATGTTGCGGGGTGCTAAAAGTAATACCTTATTCTTTCTGTTTTGGTATGGACATCCAGCAGGGATGATGACTACTTCGCCGACACATTGATCAAAACTCCATGGCTCAACGTCTGAAGAAACAGAGTAATGCGTTACAGTCATTACGCAATGGTAAAGATAAAATTAAAAGAAATGAGGATAAATGATACTTACCAAACTCTTCCTTAAGCCTTGCTTTGTGATACTCATCAAGATAGTAACTCTTCTCAAATAATGGATGACTCACCTGCAACAACGGATACAAAATAAACATGGGAACAACAACCATTGTTCTCTCGTAGAAGCGTTTAAACATCAAGCCAAAACTTACTTGTTTTTTGCTGGAATCTACGGATTCTAGCTCGAGAGAGTGGTTTTTGATGTACTCAAGAAGTTTAGAAACATCTTGTTTCTGAAAGACATCCCACTGTGCACCACAAGAGCTGCTTCGGCTTTCTGCTTCACAAGGGTCGTTGCAACTTTCTCTTTCCTCTCCCTGAAACTCACTGCCTTTGGATTCAGTGCCTAAGTAATATTGTGAAGATTCTGAATCAGAACTGGAACAGTCTCTTGAACAATCTCTCCGAGCATATGAAGCTTCAAACCTCTCTTGTCTCTTTCCCTTACCAAAACTGCTCACCCTACCCTTTTCTGTGTTTTTAGATCTTCCGACATTTTTCATTAGCTTTCTTATCCTACAAATCTGTTTTGTGGACACCGGTGTTTCTGTAACATGTAACAAGATATCAACCTGCAGAACAAATCAAAAGCTTGAGAAAAATCCAACAATCTGAAAAGTCAAACTAGGAACTGTTAAATAAGGGAAACCTCTACAGAAAACTTACCGTGTCACAAGTTTCGAATCCCAGCTTCTTCACAGAATCATTCTTTGCATACTCTTCACCACTCCTGTAAGAGATATTAAGGCATGGACCTAGATTTGGTGTTTGTATTGTGTTAGGTAGGTTGGTGGCAGTATTTAGAAGACCACGCTTTGGATCCATGTAATGAGGAATTGGTAAAAGTTTCAGTATATCATCATAATGATTAGGAAACTGTTCTTGAAACAATGAAGACGAAAGCCATCCATCCAGCTTCAGCTTCTCTTGACAAGTATTAGTCTCAGCCTTCCCTCTGAAAGACCCCAAAAACATTTGCTTTACACCAATTTCTACCTGTAATCCAGAAAAAGGTTTTAAAAAACAGAAAGAGAAAGAGCAGCAGAAACATCACAGAACACAAGTCACTAAGACACTAACCTCAAACCAATCCATGCACTCAGTTGTATTACCAGTTTTGTTATCGCTGTTCATAAGATAACTACAGAACATGTCTACTGGATCCCAGTTCAGGCTTGAACCACCCTTTAACACACTACGAACTATCACAGGATGTCCTTTACTCCAGTGTGTCTGAAAATGTTCGAGATTGTTTTGTTGAAGATCCATCGCTGTGGGGTAGTATAAAAAGTTACCAGTTGCGTCTTCTCTTCTCCCGGATGCTTCTTTCAAATGGCTGTCACTACTACTACTACTACATTGCTTTTCAATTCCACGACAAAACGGACATCCCGAGAATCTATGTAAGACTTCAGGCAACTCATAGCAGCTGACTATTTCCTCTGCACTGATCTCTAACTTGCTTGTCAACTCCATAGGGAATACACTTCTCAAAGAAAGGCTATTGCTGCACCCTTTGACTTCTTTCCTCTTACAATCCTTCAGAGTTTGGTCCCAGTCACTAGATACAGGCGGCTTAAGAGATTTTATACCGTTAGAGCACTTGACTGGTCCAACCTTTCCAGATAAGCTCCCCTGACTCCGATCTTCGTCGGAATTTGGCCTGACCGCAGAGGAACTGCGTGTGCATCTCTTTTGCAAATCCAGTTCGGCAGAGTCACGACTGTGCAGCTGTCGATCATCAGAGGTCAATTGAGAGCTACAGATTTCTGGTTCAGCTGGATTTCAAAAGATATGAGTGAGTTTGGGTCTAACTATCGATATCTCTGTCTAAAAAACAAGAACACTGTATCTTAAGATAGAACTATAAAACACCTTTAATTTCCGCGTCATTTTCGACCTTTACATTGTCTTCTGCATTGATTTCTTTTAAGACTGGAAGAAGCATGCACACCGCATAATGTAGATGCAAAACCCTGTCAATATCACTCCTGACACTCTGAGAATCCTGGAACATGGCATACAAGTAAAACAACTTCGTGTTATAAAACATCTGAAGAAAAACAAAAGATACAAAGAAAACATGTAAAATCTTAAAGCTAAAGAAACTATCAGACCTTACATTCAGTGACTCCAGACATAGTGACTGAGCAAACCCTGCACCTACATGATCCATGGCACACAGGACATTTTTCCTCAACTTCTTCTTTTGATCCCTTGTTCCTAATTGTTTCCAAGCCAAAACTCAGTTAGATGACTGCTTTTAACGCAAGTACTAGATCAAAGCAAGACAAAAATTAGAAACAAGGAAATTCCAGAGACAATCTCAAGTGAAGCTATTGAAGCCGGAAATTGCAGGAAAGATCATCTCATGTTAGAGTAGAGACGAAATCTAAGCAAACTCTACTTAAAAGAAAGAAGTAAGATACTCTGAATGCACATAAAAACAGATGAATTATCGCAATTAAGGTGGTACCACAGATGAATGATTAAGCCTCTCTATGTCCTGTGTGTCCAAAAAACTACTGAATATTCCTAACTACAATTACTGTTCAATGCAATTACTAATCTAGTTTCTAATGAGACCAATACCATCAGCAAAAAGACAAAAGCTTTCTGCAAACAAGAGAAGTACCAAAGCAGAAAATATACCTTTTCTCGATACAATCTAAGCAAAAGAACTCTCTTTCACAGCTCAAACAAGTAATCAAATCTCCAAACCCTTTAGTTCCACACCAATGGCACCTCTTCTTCTTCTCCTTCCTTCCATTAACCAAATTCCCATTGAAAGGAACCACCTTGAAACCAATCACACAAAACAAAAACGATAATATAAGATAAGCTAAATAAAGAAACTAAAATGGGTATAAAAATTTAAGCTTTTTTTCTGTTACCTGCATCTTCCCAACAGGCAAAGGCTCAATGTTCTTAGACCGAAACCTTCTTTTAGTCATCGAAATCGGTTCCTCCCCTACTTTAACATCAGAAGGAGATGTCACATTGCTTGTGGTCGGAGAAGGTGGTGAAATTGCCATAATGCCATTGGGAAGAATCCTCGTTAACTCTTCTCCGACGAAATCACCAAATCCTCTGTTACTGCTACTTTCTTTCTTCTTCTTCTTCTTGTTTGGTAACTTCTTCTTCTTCTTCTTCTCGACTTCTCTCTTCAACACCATCCTTATCAAATCCAATTGCAAGTCTCCTCTTTTCAACTTCATCTTCCTCACAGCTTCATCCACAGCCTCTGCTTCTCCCATCATCACTCGCTTCCTCTTATTCGATTTCCCCGATCCTTTATTAGCCCTAATTCCTCCTTCGTTTGGCTCGATCTCTGAAGACGCCGCTTCGTCTCCTCCTCTCCTTGATCTGTCGAGCTTCAGCGACTCGGAAAGTTTCTGCTTGTTCCGCTTTATTGAAAGCTGAGAGTGATGAGACTCGCACATCTTCTTCCCTTCCAAAGCCCGTCTCTTGCAACGCCATTGCTTCCCGTCGGAGCGGTTGCAACGAAACTCGTCCGGGACAGTTTCTTGCTCCGACATTGGCGAGATTCCGGACAATTCTCTGAATTTGGATGGGAAACTCCGCCGGAATCTCTCCTAGTCAGTGATCTGAAACCAGAGGAGAAGGGCTTTGCAGAGAGAGAGAGAGTTATTTGCAGAGTGAAGAAGTGGCAGACTTGTGATTAAGTGAAGAACGAGAGTCTTGTTTTGGTAACGTAAGATCGCAAATATCGAGAGGATCTTCAGTTTTTCAGTTACCTCTCTGGTCTTTTTTTTCTTTTCCTTTTTGTTTCTATTTCTTTACAACCCTAAATTTCTTTCGATTTGGTTGAACAAAGAAACAAATCTTTTTTGCTAATGGTTTTTAGATTTATATTTGCGCATATATGAGTATATGACGATAGTTTCTAAATTTGAATAGTTGTTTCCAATATACTACGCGAAAAAAAAACAGAGTAAAATCTAGTTTTCTTTTGCAATTTCGTACCAAATATTTTTCTTTAAAAAGAGTAAATGCGGAATTAAATAAATTAATACGGTATGTTTTTGTTTGGTATAGTACTAGCTACAATTCAATGCATTAAAAAAAATTAAAATCAATATCTGATAACTTTTATCAACACAAATTTTGAAACGATTTGAGCAATGTAATATATTTTTTATCTAGATTAAAAAAATATTAAATAAATAAGAAGATTTATACATATTTGATTAGGATTGTATGTTTGTAAATGTTGCCAAGTACATATGGACCATGGAATGCATCGAAATCTAGTAGCTGTTTTGGCTGGTATATTTCTAGGTTATTCCAATGTTGTTCATTTTGTAGGTCTGAATTCTGAAAAGCACATGCAGATGCCTATAATGCTACAAAACTCGAGGTTCTTCTGTACTATGAAATATATGTTCTTGAGGAAGCTTTTATCTATTGTTTTTGAATCAAATTATTCGGAGATGTTGAAGATGTTAGAGAATTATCAATAAGAGTGGCCACAAATCGGTGGTGTTTTAGAATTTAGAACTCATGATGGTTTCGTAAAAGGACTTGATACAGTGTATGTATTCTGTTTGTAATGGCTTTTGTTGGGCTTTTATAAGTTGTAGTCTTTTTGGGCTCCAAACTGTTTTGGCGTTATAATAGTGCTAGTTCCTTTGTCAACAAGTCTTGACACGGCAAGCAAAATTTTAAGCTTTTTTTTCTTTGTCAATGTGTTAAGCTTTTGGTCGAATAGCTTTTTTTATTATGGAAAAAATCGATTGCCTTGTACTTGGATTCATGTCCGTGTACTGACGACATCAAACACCAATGTGTGCGTTTCGACTGTTGTTAAAAACTCTATTACGTATAAAATGATGAATTTGTGGGATCTGAAGAATATTCCTCTTAAACGTGGATTAATGTTATTTGATAACAGGAAAACACACACACACAATGACTCAAATGATGATCAGTCTTGTAAAGAGATACGATAGTTCCTCTGACATCCCTACTCTAGAAAGATAGTAGGAAATTAGAACTGAAAATTATTTTCTATTCTTCAAGCTCAAAAGCCCATCTTGATCAATAAGGACAGAAAAGCCCGTTCTTGTGAAACCCTAACCCTAGAACCTTCAGCCTCCACTCTATTTAAAGAGGAGCCACGACCTAGATGAAGACAGAGAGCATATCGATGGCGAAGCCCTGCCAAAATCGTGCCATGCAGAGCCACCTTGAAGGAGAACTCACTGAAGGAACCTAGAGGGCGGAAGGAGACAGATCTGAGGTGTTTCGGTACAGCAGATATCCGACCAGGCAAATCTACTCCGATCGGTCTGAAACTCGGTAACCATGATCTCAACTCTCTTAGCTAGCTGTAGCAAAAAGCGGATCCGCAATCGGAGCAGTAGATCTAGAGTTATGCGTCTTTTCCCGAGACTTATTTCTGTGGATCTCGATCTGACGGCAGTGAACTTTAATGGTGTTTCCCGTCGACTCGGAGCGAACCAGGAGCCGATCTACATATCATCGGAAAGCCCGCGAACACATCTTTCCATAGCCGTCAAGATCTTCCCGATCCGAGAGAGCTACAATGACATTCAAGAAGAGTTCTGGAACCATGCACAAGGCGAGGACAGGACCAATATACCAGGTGGGGATTTGGATCGAGCATTATTAATACTTTGATTAACTTGTTAATGAATGTAGGATGTCTAACTAGATAAATGATGATGTGATATGAATTGATTGTTGCATTGTTAGTTCCCATGTGCATCATTTAATGTTGTAGTATGATAAATGTATTAAGGATCTGTGAAGTAGAAATGTTAAGTCTAAGAGTGTCATGCAAGAAAGTATGAAGTATGAAAGTATGAGAAGGAAAGAAATGATGAATGTAGGAACAGTTATGATTTCATATATAGCCATTAGGGCTATTGTTGTTACCGGGGCCATGCTGCGAACCATGGAGCGGTATTGATTGTCGCTGGGGTCATGGTTGCGAGCCATGAAGCAGTATTTCTATGATGGGCCACAAGATGAGGTTGTGGGCTCAGAGGGGCTGACGGGCCCTGAAAGAAGGGGCTGACGAGCCCGGAATGTTAAAGAGATTGAGTAACATGGGTCGAGGCCTGTGCGAATGTGAAGAGTCGAGTCAAGTATGTTTGAGGTCTAGATGCATGGTTATAGGTTGAATGTTATATTTATGTTACAGATGCATTTAAAAGGTTAAATGTGTTGCAGTTATTAATGATTTAATTATGGTATTGTGAATCTCGTGGGCATTCGTGCCTACTCCCACTGAGTAACATTGGTTACTCATACCCCTTTTACCCCTTTTCAGGTATTAGAGTGCAAGTCAAGCTATTCAGTGTTTTTATCCGGGTTTGGGGTGTCTCTGTTCCAATGCAATCGATACTCTTAGCAAAATTCAAGGTTACTACATTTTTTTATAAAAGAAAATTCAAGGTTACTACATTGCTTTAGCCAAGTATGAAACCATAAGAATGCCAACATTATGCGTGCAAAAGACACATATCCACTTTAGAGGTGCTTATCTTAACTTTTGAAATTGACATTGTCCTATTTTTTTCCCCTAGGGACGGCTGGGACTTTCTATCCATGTGTGACTAAATTGGTCTATCAATTTTACTTAAGAAGAGGTTGAGCTATTGTTTTCTTTTAGAAAGGTTTTGAAATTGAGTTTTCGCTGTTTTGCTTTATTACAAGAGAGAAACTATTTTCACTTTTCAATTAATATTAATATTGTGGGCCAACCATGATTGGATAGTACTTCTTATTGTCTGACTTTTAATAACTAAGATCAAATATCGATTGCATAACATAGACAAGCATTTGTCATGTAATTCTTAATCCGGTTCACGAAACGTGTGTTTGCAATTTTACACGTATTAGGTTTTCAAATATATTACTGGAGTATTTAATTTAAGTATTCTTGTATTAAACTTATGTTACTGTACATATCAGCCTCTAGACTCTACATTGGTAAAATTTTAGAACATTTCTGCATTGTCTCATTTTTCGCTATAATGTTGTGGTTTTTTTTTCATTTTATAATTAGTGTGGAAAAATGGACAACCTATTTTGATGTATAAATGACGTATGGAATACGTGGCCAGACCATTTTAACAATCACATGTGACTATAGAAGCTTCCGGGCGTACGGACGACAATAATTAAATCAAAGTCCAGTAGTCCACTTTTTGGCGACAATAATCTGATTGTTCGCACTTAATGCATAATTTTAAATTAACCATATGGATGAAAGACATTAGTCACTACACATCAAACCCTACTTATATATTGCTTGACATGATTAGGAATTTAGGATGGGGCGGTACGTATGTGATCTACGTTGACCAAAAATTTCAAATTGTTAAACCATTTAGTGGATAAATGGCGAGTATATGAATACTTATTACTCTAATAATACAATATGTTAGAATATTGTTGATCATACCATAATGGCATAATGGTGGCATATTAGTATTTTGCTAAACACAAAGTATAATCTAACTAAATCGTTGGCCTTGATAGACTTTGAGTTTAATCGAGGCTTATGATGATGACTGATATTAAGTGTAAACAGTTAACTACTGAAAGTCCAGAAGTTAGTAACTAACAATATTCTGAAGTTATGTTTCAAAAAGTTGTTAATATTAAAACGAACCATACTTTTGCATCAAATAAGTATGAGAACTTTTGTCCTAAACATCGTATTATCTGAAACATATGAAATACTGATTAAGTTTAGTATTAATTCAATCCCTTAGATAACTTAGAGAGCAAAAATTAGAGAGTGGAATTAGGAAAGAATTAAATTAGGTTAACTCTACGAACCTCCAAAATTGACCACAAGTTTTTTGTCTTTTGGTGATCAAGTGCCTACGTATAAACACAACACGAAGTGGAAACGAGAAAAACACGTTTTGTTGTTTGCCATGGACATGGAAACACGCAGACACCCACGAAAACGAACGGGATCGGAGCATGTAAAACAAAATTTGCCTTTTTGCTTTGGTCCGATATTTTCTTATAAATCTTATAGACTTTATCCGATTCTTTGTTTTGAAGTCAATATACAGTATCACACTTTGTTTTCCCCCACTTATAATTTTGAAACTTTTTAGGACAAAATAACACTTTTTATTCCAAACTTCACAATCACATTTAACTTAGACGAAGCAACCTAAAATTATACTCCTTTCTGATTGACAGCATTTTTTAAAAAATTTGCCTTTAAAATATTCGCAAACAACTGTGAAAAGTATTTGATTTGTTAGAAAGATAAAGAACGTAGTTTTTATGTCTGTTTAATAAACATCTTTCTAATATAAATACACATGGTAAAGAACTTTATCTAAAAAAACTACTTATGCTGGTAGAATATTTCTTTAACGCATACCTTTTGGATTAATTATGTTTATCTTACAACTGATTCACAGAAAAATCTAAGACTTTTACCTTAAAGCATGTGCAGCAGAGAGACTATAAGGATTTCTTTATATTTTTGTTTTTTTTTTTAATGATTTTCGGAAAAATTAAAAAAAAAAAAAAAATCAAAAACCAATCACGTGCTGACACGTCGAGAGACGTGTCAAAGAAACGGTTCTGGAATCTCTCCCCAGAGAAACGTCTCTCGCCTTAGGACTCGCCATGTAGGTAAATGTTTTTATTTTTTATTTTTCTTTTGACTAAAGAAACTCTCATAGTCTCTACTGCAAGTACATTGAAAAAATCATATACTAGCAATATATAGTTGACAAATATAAATGTATAGCAATAAGTCATCGTCTACTATAGCAATAAATAGTTGACAAATATAAATGTATAACTTTTAGAACGTACATTGAAAAAATCATATGTCAAAATCACAACATTTATTTTCGATCAGAGTATATATGTTATTTTAGATTTGATTTTAAAACCATTTTTCAGAAGAAAATAAAATAACAGCAGTTATGTCCAATCCAGGAGTCAAAAAATAACAGCTCATCAAAAAAAACGTCGTTCAACACACAAGCGGGGCCCATCGATCTATTATTGAGTTACACGTGTTCTCTATCTTAAATGGTGCGTGACGTCTACACGTGTAAAGCGATAAAAAAAAACCTACGCCGTGATTTCAATAATAAGGGAGGCTTTTCGTTTTTTCTTTTTGCCTTAATTACATACCAAGTCATCAACACTTCGTGAACACGTGTCGCCAGCCCATTAGGTACCTTTTCATAATCCCATGAAACTGAACAAAAGTTACTTCTGCCGTAAAGATGTAAGACACGTGTCCTCACATGTACTGCACGCGCCGGTAACTCTCGCCGGTTCGGGTCATCGGGGTAGTAAGCTAGTAGCTGATGCATCTTTGATGTTTCCTTGTAAAATATCACACTCTTTTCTCAAATTTGTTTTTTCTCAATCACTTGTTTTAGTTTTTTTTTCATGAGAAATATGGATAAGAAAAATTACTTAATTAGTTATATATGTAGAGTGTTCAGCTTCCATGTTTGTATTTTTTAAAGAAAAAGGACGTTGAAGACTCAAAATTATCATGAAACATGCATTTCTCTTTAAGAACTTATAAAAACATATATGCAGCAATGACAGCATTAGCAAGTAAAGTAAATCGTAGAGATGATGTGAAATGAAATACTAATGAATTTATCAATTAATTAAAAAAGTTACTTGAGATATTGCTGGAAATGCATGTGGCGGATCTTGTGACCATGCAAAAAATATCAAAGTATACAATTATATGGTGGATCATTTGGACGATATTGGTTTGGCTCATACGTTTCCATTATACCTTTTGGGAAACATGACATAAGTCAATGATGTAATTTTAAAAGTATTTATTTTATGTCTATATCAGGAAATTTTAGCACCTCATATCAATCATACATATCAATGAGTCAAATCTATTATTGACAAGAGAGGCTATGCATATGTAGAAGTACAGCCGGCCAAATATAAATATCTAAATTAGAAGTGGATATCGACAATGGAAAAAATTGATTAAGTAGTCCATCTTATAATATAAACTCTAAACAAAATAAATAAACAACAAGATGATATAGTATTTTACATATACAAAAAATCCAAACTGAAAAAAAAACAAAAAATAAAGTCTTAAAAATTACAATAAATAAGAAAAATAACTTTATCCCCAATGGATCTTATCCTGTATCGTGAAGTTATATAATAAAACCACTAACGTCCAAGAAATCCGGAACATCAAACTTCATGAGATTACTGCAATAACTTTCCATTTCATCTTCAGTACTGCAACTGCTACTATTGATGCAAGTTGTGGAACCCGAGTTTAACGTAGTCGGGCTCGAAGTTGGCGTGTTCAAGACCGAGTTAACGAAGTTGAAGCTCTGGTCCGAGTAAGAAGGATCCAATGCAAAACTAGAGCTTGAATAATCGTAAAATGATGGAATATTGCAATCTTGAACCGGCGTAGTTGAAGTGGAAGCGAAAGTATGTCCTCCGAAACCATTGAACTGATGATGATCCATGTCGTTAAATTGAGCTTCATCGGGAAACGGTGGCATGCAAGATTGAAGTTCTTGAGGAATGGTGTTCTCGAACTGGTCGGTTTGGTATTGGTTTACTCCGGTTTGGTTAACATCATCATATTGATAAAACGAATGGTTGTCATGAGTTTTGGAGTCATGATCCACGACGAGGTTTTGGTTTTGGTTTTGGTTATGGTTTTGGTTTTGAGAGAAGAGAGAGGTAGCGAGCTTGAGAATTTCGGGGTTAACCAATGGTTGTTGCTGTTGATGACGACGATGAGCGTCCAACATGAGTCTTGACACGTTCATATGATGTGGAGAGGAGTTGTATAGAGATGAAGCTAAGATGGATGAGATATCGAGGAGATCGAGTCGTGGACTGTGAGTTACTGGATCGATCCCCATTCTAAGCAACTTCTTTCTTATATGTGTGTTCCAGAAGTTCTTGATTTCATTATCTGTTCTTCCAGGCAAACGCGCCGCAATCGCAGACCACCTATAAAAAACATAACAAATTAATAAGAATCTTGAACTAGTTCAAAGAGTTCATGGTCGGAGAAATTAATAAAAGAAAAAAACTCACTTGTTCCCTAAGAAGCTATGGAGCTGAATAATGGTTTCTTCTTCTTCAAAGGAGAACCTCCCACGCTTTATATCTGGTCGGAGATAATTAGTCCATCTTAACCGACAGCTTTTGCCACATCTCTGCAAACCTGATGAAGAGATTAAAAAAACATGATTAACAAATTGGAATTAAAAAAAAAAGACATTATTAAAAGGAAAATATGAGTATAATACAAATTAAGAAACGAACCAGCATTTTTGGGGAGTGTTCTCCAGTTACCATATCCATGTTTCTGGATATAGTCAACGAGCTTCTGGTCTTCTTCAGATGTCCATGGCCCTTTCTTGAGCCCGTTTTTCTCGCAACAAGGTGCCCTTCCCATTGATTTTGTAGTTGGATATTATTTATCAAGAAACAAATTGGTCAATCAAGCTTAAGAATGAGCTAATCAGAGAGTTTTAAGGATATTGATAGAGAAGAGAGAAACAAAAGGTCGTAGGGTCCGTAATGGGAAGTACAAAGTATATATACTTATATAGGGATGTGATAAGAGGGAAGTCAAATAGGTTCGGTGCCGTCCTCTGTTTCTCGATTGGTATACGTGTCCCTTTATATTTAAATAAAATAAAAAATTCGAATAAATTCTGTGTTTATACGATGCTTTGTATCTTTTTATCATGTTTTGTTTTTTACTTCTGTGATATTTATGAAAGGAGAAGACAAGACTTGCCTTTGAATTGGCTTGATGGTTTTACTTTGACTTTGAGTTTGTTTTTAATTCTTACATGTTAAATATTGATCATGTCTAACTTCAGAGTTGAACAAACCATTCATTTATATTGTTTTGCTGAATATTATTTGGAAATTAGAGAGCATATATGCTAATCACATACAACAAACAAATTTTGTTTGTGTTTTGTATTTACATTTTCAAACTTCCATATGATATTTAATTAAAAAAATGTATTCATAGAAAATGTAAACAAAGTACATGCTTTAAAATGCAATGTCACATGTTAAAAGCAACCAAATATATGGCCGGCGTTAATTCTTCTTTCTAAGAACCAACAAATTATCATTTACCCTGTCTTCAGTATTGTTTTACTAAACATATTCTGGAAAGGTGATCAACAGTTTGTTCAAAATAATATAAATGTGTCTTATTTAAGCTTTATTGATAGATTAGAGTTAGAACTATATATGATAACTCTAAAAATTAGCTGTAACGTTGAAAAAATGAAGTTTTGTTAGTCTTATTCATCATGATCGTGAAACATATGATATGAGTCAATCAGCCTGAGAAAGAAAAACTAGAGTATCTTCTTGGCAAGAATATATAATCTTAAAAATGGTTGTAACATACACGAAAAATCATATGAAAATTTGTAAAAATGATACAGTTTTACCATATATGAGATTCGATGTGTTTGGTAAACTCAATACTCAGGTATATGTAGAATTCTTAGTTTTTGTACTACTTTCATATGCAATGTAATGAAAGAGTTGATCCACAACGTAACTGTTAACACATAAGAATTATCGGTGTTGTGTTAGCTACTTAGCTAGCTAAATCAATGATAAATAGTGATATTTAACAAATAAGTTTAATAAGGAACACAAAATTGTGACAGTGAAAGTAACTACACAATCAAAGGGGTGTGAGGATTGAGGAAAAGAGCGTCGCTCTCCAAGCTTTGTGGGAAGGTTTCACATTAGCTGTCGCCAACATGAAGATGCCACGTTCGTTCCCTCTCAATTTCAACTTCTCTCTTGTTTCTTTTTTTTCTTTCTGTGGACTAGTTTTTCCACCTTTCCAGAAAAGAAGCAATCAATGCTTTTTTTTTTAGATCCTCTCTCCGAATATTCAAATGGGCCATAAGCAAGGACCTATATCTATATAGATATTCAGAAAAATTATGAACAAGTTTTCTCCAGTAAGATTTGAACTTACAACCTGGGTGCAAAAGGAGCACATCCTTAGGAGATAGAAGTAATCAATGTCATTATAAAAAAAAGTTACAACTATTTGGCTGGAGCTACGTACGATTATACACAAGCCACTTAGAGAAATACTTTAGTTAAAATATTGGACCAACCGTTTCGCTTGGATTGCAAAGTCCAAGGGCAAATTTAACAAAGTCAATTTCCTCCCATTTCCTATTATAGAGAAAGGAGAGCGCATTTAATTCGAATGCAATAATTGAGTTTGGTGTTTGCCGAAATTTTGAAAACATTAATTGTTGAGTGATTGTGATACCTTTATAGACAAAATATATTATCCACCAATGAATTTGTGACAATCTGTTTATTTTGAATATATGTATGTTTTATATACACTCTCACCATATTATATAACTGTTGCTATCTGTTCCCGAACAATGAAGACCAATATTTTGTACTTATTAGCTTTTCATGCATGTGTTGTGTAAGATTATGAATATTTATAACATGATATGTGATTATTGACTTAAAGTTTTAATTTTCATTGAAAATCAAACCAGTAAATAGAATTCCAGTTTGTTTCAATAAGCATAACGAAAACAGAATCAAATCCAAATTGAAAACTGGAATTAACACCAAAATATGAATTGTAAAGCCTAAAGAGAGGTTTTATTAAAAAAAAAAAAAAAAAAAAGCCTAAAGAGGGTGTTTTAAAAAAACAAAAAAGGACTAAAAGAGTCATCATTAAGGAGAAGCTGATGCCACAGCAACCGGCTCCAGAAAAAGAACAGCTAACTTTAAAAAGAAGCTCACGTGCTGGATCAAGGTCAATATCGTCATTTAGACTAAATTGGTACGTTTGCATGGCGTGACGTGAGGACCATTGGCCGCTTGTATGAACCACTATCTTTTCCACACGTGTTCTCTCTCAACGTAAATTATAGTAAATTATTATATCGTACAGTAGTTTTTTGGATTTAAGCTTGTGATCATAGAATTTTTTTTTATAAAGTTATTATCATACAAATTCAATATTCATAAATAAAACTTTATATAATAATCAAAATCTGTATTATTTTTGGATATTGAATTTCATGTGCTGAATATATGATTTATAGAGATATGCAAATTGCAAATCACCTTTGCCTCTAGTTACTACGAACAAAAAAAACATTACACTACGAGGATGATGGCACGGTGAATAAAAAACAAAAAACCGTTATTTTTTGTTTCGCATATTCCCATAAAAGAAAGCATCAAATGATAATACCCAAAATAATAATTCAGAAGCACAGATTATTGATGAAACCCTTCAAATAATTGTGTTTGTCAATAATTAATTGGCTTTGAGAGGAATAGTCGTATCACTTTCAAATCTATATTGTTAAGCACATATAGCCACGGAGTACTAAATCTAATGTAAGCATCATAAAATTATATCTTAATCATCGATCTTATTCTTATTCTTTACTATCAATCCAAATTATTAGGAACAATTACATTACACATACTAGAATATACTTAATATTCTAATATAACCATTTCTTCCGGAGATCTTATAGCCTAATTTAGAGATTTTATTAAGAGGATATATTACTTAGAATAACATAAATGATCCGTAATATTAGGGTTATGTCTCGGTGTTTGAGATTGAAGAATCTGTCGGGTCCAACGACAAATGAAATCGTTATAAAGTGACAAATTATGCCATTTGAACCGATAAATTAGTTAGTCAATCTAAATTAAAAATTAAGAATAAGGTTAGGTGTTAATGCTATATTAGGCTATAACCTGTCGAAAATCTAGCTAGGGCTTTGCTTGGCATGATGGATTATTTGCCACAAGGAGAAGCCCACGTGTATAGATATAGTTGACCAAATCTCAATACTTGATTAAACGTTTTTGACAAACTAGTTAATTAGTTGATTAAATAAATGCATGTAAGAAGGAACGAGAATAACCAACGCGGAAGAAAAGAGCAAGGTTTTGATAAGTTTTGTGATATGATAGCGAATTGAAGTAAATGTTGTTAATTTGTTATTCTCGTTATAATTGTAACTAAATGTAAAAATGTCCATTTGAGTAAGCTAAAAGAATCTTTTATCAGTAAACAGGGAAGAGAAACTTATCTCGTGGATACCACCACTAGTAAGCTGGACCAAACTGAATACTGATGGGGCGTCGCATGGAAATCCGGGACTCGCTACGGCTGGTGGAGTCCTACGTAATGGCGAGGGACTGTGGTGTGGAGGTTTTGCTTTGAAGATCGGACACTGCTCGGCGCCAATGGCGGAGTTATGGGGCGTCTACTATGGGCTTGTGATTGCATGGGAGAAAGGGATTCCAAGGCTTGATGTCGAGGTAGATTCCGCAATGGTGGTTGGGTTTCTCAAGACAGGGATCTGTGACACACATCCTTTGTCTTTCCTGGTACATCTGTGCCACGACTTTTTATCTAAGGACTGGGAAGTCCGGATCGCCCATGTGTATAGGGAGGCTAATCGTCTCGCCGACGGATTAGCAAACTATGCATTTTCTTTACCTTTTGGTTTTCATTCTTTTGATTTAGTCCCTCCAAGCTTGTTGGATGTATTGTGTGAGGATGAGTGTGGACATTTGATTTCACGGCAAGTCCGTGTGTAACTTGTTTCATTTTTGAATAAATCTTCGGGAGCTAGCTCCCGGTGTTACACAAAAAAAAAATGATTTAAACCTGATAACCAGATATAAACCGGCCTATATAAATAGTCGCTTGATTTCATAGTAGCTAATAGCTATTAACGAAGTTTCGACTTTCGCAATTAAAACCTGGATTCAGTTAGAAACACATATTCAAGCATTCCACATAAGATTTTCGCTTCGTCTTTTTAATTACAAATTATTTCCACCATTTATTTCCAGAAACTAATTGCGTTATAATATAGTCCTATAGTGGTATACTTTTTTTTTTTTTTTAAACATGTATAGTGGTATATATATGTATTGTGTTTCTTGCAATTTTATCCAAACGCAAACGCACTCACCGTCAACTTCGAGTTACAAGTAACAATGGACAGTTTGGCAATACTAAGCAGTTTGGGAAAATGAATTTGCAATTATCTGAATGTATTTGGACTCAAAACACATCAAAATAATTGTAGATACATTTTCCTAAATTGCTTATAATATGGACAGAAAAAAGTATATAATAAGAGCTACCAGCCATACTTATACAATGTCTATCGAATAACTCTTCAAATAATATATGAAAGAGGATATAATAAATTAAGAATATACTAGTTCCCGTATATATTCATTTTATATTAATTATTCAAATGCTCTGTTTCGTATAAACAAAAGCCTTTGAACCCTAAACAGTTGAAAGGAGCAGAGTCAGCAGATAATGACCAAAATCCATTAGTCCATATATTAAAAGACGATATAATTTGATACGAAATCGTAATGGTTGTGCAGTTGATGTTGCCACTTAAGACACTTACGTAAGACTGCATGCAAATGATATTTAATGCGTCTTGAGTTCACATATTAATTTGATTATAATTCGGTCAGTTTTCGGGATTTGTTCGATAATAGAGTTGATAGAAACACTGATGATATATTTGATCAAATATTAAATATTATCATATGAAATTTGGAGCAAAGACAGCAACACACTCGAGAACTCTCTGGAAAACTGAAAAGATACGTTTTTAATTACTTCTTCTTTTCACGATTAGTTGTCAAAAATCTCCGAACAATATATATAAATACTGCCAACAAATGCAAAAACCATTCACATTTAACTTAATTTAATGTATTAATATATAAGCAGTGGCGGACCTAGAATTGTAAATTAGGGGAGTCAAAAATCAAGTAAAGTGTCATTGGGGATATTTGAACCCAGGTTAGGGGGTCAATATGAAGCTTTTTACCATTTAAGCTGTTGCATTTATATGTAATATTCTTACAAATCAATCTTTTATCTAACTTTAGGGGTGTCAAATGAACCATGTAAACATGTGGGTCCGCCTTTTGTATATAAGTACTTCCGTGATATTGGAGATGATTAAGAATATACACTTATTTTAATCCATATTCAGTAATTATGCATGCGTTTTTAGTTTGTACTTAAGTCTGGAGACATATGATCAGTTTGAATAATATTCTACTCGTATTATATTATATTATCTTAGATTAGATCCAAACGTTTATATCCATCCCTAAGTAATGTTTAGTGTATATTTTAATAATATTTTATCATTCGAACACATTGCATCTATAATAAGATTGAGATTAATCAAATCTCTAATCTTCCTATATTTAGCCATGACATGAACGAACCCTTTAACAAAAAAGAGAGATGAACGAAATCCTAAATGGCTAGATCTAAAAATGTCCATTTAATAAATAAACTAAAATGGCCAAAACCCGGAAGGCCCAATACAGTAAAAGCCCAGAGATACTAATTCATTGCTCACCACTAAAATATTCCAAAGACAATCAACGAACATAACGGATAAGTGTTATCCTCATCTCCTCCATCTCTTCTAACTCTTCGAGAAAGAAGAGCAGCAAAGAGATCGAGTTTGGTGTCACTATGAATATCGCCACTTATTATCATCGCTCAAACTTCGTCTTAAATCCTGGCATAGACAAGACGTTAGCGACGACTAGACAATCAAGTACAAATAATATCACATTCATGACAAGAACACAAGGAAAAAGAAGAAAGATGGGAATGTGTTTGGTAAGAGCAAGTGCAGAAGATTCTGGCGATCAAAGCAAGCCCGAGAGAAGAAGTTTCCTGAGCTTAGCTGAAGCAGGTCTTGTCGAAATCTCGGGACTTGGTGCACACGAGAAGTTTCTATGTCGACTAACGGTAAAACTAAATCATAAACTCCCTCGGTTTTTTTTTTTTTTAAATTGTAATGTTTTAGATTGTTCACACACTTTAAGAAATTATCTGCAATTCCAAATTTAACTTCAATCTATTAGTTATTCATTCGATTAGGATTTTTTAAGGTTAGATAAATTAAATAACTAGAACATCATTTTTTGAGAAAGCATGTACATTAATTTTGAAGATGGAAATTCATATTAATTTTGGTCATTTTTTATTTGATAAAGCATATTAATTTTGGTCATATTTGGATTTTTCTACAGATATCGTCGTTGAATTTACTAAGAGTGATATCGGAGCAAGAAGGATGTTCAATAGAAGAACTGAATGCTGGAAAGATATGTGATTGGTTCTTAAAAGATAAGCTGAAGCGAGAGCATAACATCGAATCTGCTGTTCTTCAGTGGGATGATCCTGATTTTCCATTTTGATTTTCTTCTTATTACATATAAGATACAAAAAGTATGTTTATCAATTGAAAAAAAAAGTGAAAATATTAGCTTCTTCATTAGCAAGGTGGGTAGTATGTAGTATACATCCCGAACAAAACAAATCCTAGTAGAACAATGACCATATGAGTTTAGGAATCTAATTTAGACAGATACATATGTTATGTATATTATCAATGTCTAGACGTACGATATATCTACAACGCGCTAACACATAATCAACAATTTTGAATATTATCCATGACTAAATTACATAACATAACTTTATTTTTGTTGTTGTTGAAATTATCTGTAAACCAACCAAAAAGACTTGAAAGTGAACATTAAAGAAGCAAAAAAAAAAGACTTTAAAAGAGCATCCAAAAGTTTATAGAAAGACTTTTCATGACAAGAGAATCCAATACGCTGTCGTTTTGAATGATGTCTCTGTCACTTTTTGTTTAATTCACCCTCCACTACGAATTTGATGTTCTTCATCCGCTAATCAAGCACCAGAAAAAAACACAAAAATCCGACATGTATTTTAATATATAAAAATCACTAACGAAACCCGGACGCGAAATCAACCAATTAAATCCACTTTCTCTCTCCCTCTCGCGTCCGATCTCTCTCTCTCTCCTCACTACTCTTCTTCTCCAACAAACAACAATCTCTCTCTCTCCACGAGTCAACTCTTCGCCGTGTCTCTATCCTCAAATCGCATGCCCTAACTCTGAGAGAGATGACTATGACGACGGAGGAGAAACCACCTTCCGATGGCCGAGGCTGGGGTTTCTTCAAAATCCCATTTCGAAACTCTAGCGGTCACGGAAACGCCTCTAGTGCCGCTACCTCTCCGTTTCCATCGGGCGCTTCGTCTTCTTCTTCTACATCTTCTCATCTCCACAACCACCACCACCAACACCATCACCACCTTCACAATCACCATCAGCTTGGCTACAACGGACCTCACGGTGATGGATCGAGTCAGAATCAGCACCCGGCCCCTTCAGCTTCAGTATCATCTGTCGCCAAGTCACTTCTCCCTACGAAACGCCGATTGAAGCTTGATCCTTCTGAGAAACTCTATTTTCCCTGTGAGTTTTTTCGAATCTCATCTGATCGGAATCGTTTACATTTTTGAAAAATCGAGATCGATTGACACTAACAATCAAATTTTCGATCTGATTTCGAGTTGAAAATTTGAGTATTTTGATTTTGACTGATATGATTATGATATTGTACTTGAGAAGGAAAAAGGAAGTTTCTAATTTTAACTGATTCGTAACTCCAAAGATGGCTTTTTCATAGCTTTCCAAGTTTAGGAGTCGGTGTAGAGATAAATCATTATAAGATTTTGGTCCCTATATGTGTAGGCCATGATTGTGTTTTTTATTTTATTGTTTGGTTTAGATTTTGGAAGTTAGAGTCTGTCAGTTATTTTCCCTCCAATTTAACTGAAGAGTACTAAATTAGTGATGATTACTTTGTTTTGAAGATGAGCCTGGGAAGCAAGTGAGGAGCGCCATTAAGATTAAAAATACAAGCAAATCTCATGTAGCCTTTAAGGTATGTTTTTTTTTATCTATGGTTTTTGATTGTTGCGTTTTGTGCATTTGTGTATTTGTGCTTACTCTTTTGCTCTTCAGTTTCAAACAACTGCACCAAAGAGTTGCTTCATGCGTCCACCTGGTGCTATTCTTGCTCCTGGAGAGACTCTTATCGCTACTGGTAATTGCTTCTTTTCCTCCCTGTATTTTTTGGTGAGAAATGGCTCTAGAAGATTATGTTTGTGACTATTTTTCTCCGTTCATGTGACAGTGTTCAAATTTGTTGAGCCTCCTGAGAATAATGAGAAGCCAATGGATCAAAGGAGCAGGGTTAAGTTTAAGATCATGAGCCTGAAAGTTAAAGGTCCAATGGACTATGTGCCTGAGCTGGTATGTTAAATCGCTTATCTTATGAGCTGTTCTTTAAACTGGAAAATGGTAGTAACAACATGTCAGTATCCAATAATATAGAGATAATTTGATCAATCTCTAAAACATAACAAGAGTGGAGATTTTCAGTTAGGGTGCTAGTGACTTGCGTTTTGTCATGCTCTTACATTTCTTAGGCTCTGCTGAATGTTGGTTTGATCTAAAAGAAATATCGATTGCATTTGTGTTTGTTTTGGCAGTTTGATGAGCAAAAGGAGGATGTGTCTAAGGAACAAATATTGCGTGTTATCTTCCTGGATCCGGAACGTCCCAACCCTGTGAGCATCTTGCTTATGAACGATGATTCTGTAATACACTGAACTTAAAGGCTCTTCTCTAATGATCTGTGGGATGAATGAAATAGGCACTGGAGAAACTGAAACGTCAGCTAGCTGAAGCGGATGCAGCAGTGGAAGCACGAAAGAAACCGCCAGAGGAAACAGGTCCAAAGATGATTGGTGAAGGACTTGTGATCGATGAATGGGTGAGCCACATTTGCTTTATCTTAAGAGTCTCTTCCATTAGATGATTGTAAAAAATCTGACATTGTTGTTGTTGTTCTCTGCTCTCTAATAAAATCGCAGAAGGAGCGTCGAGAGAGATATCTTGCACAGCAGCAAGGCGAAGGAGTTGACTCTGTCTGAGAGACTAAAAGATCCTTCTCAGGACAAAAGCGAGTTCGTTCTTGTGAAGGAGAAGAAGAAGAGACCACGATATTGAATTTGTCTACTAACTTCCACATTCATAATGAAATCTAAGAATCATGTTGGTAAAACAGAATGAAACTTTTTCATGTAAAAAGATGTAAACTTGGGGTTTGATAATGAAGTAATGTTAAGACCTGAGATCTTATAAAAAAAAAAAAGGTGACAAAATGGGCTATAAAATTGAATTAGGTAGTTCCATAACTTTTGGTTCATGATTTCATTTTTAGCACTGTGTTTGTTTGTGCTGAATCTCGTTTTTTGACCTTTTTCTTCATAACTATCCGAATCTGTACCGGACAATATAATCAGAAACTCGGTCAGGGCCCTGCAGTACCAATTTCGAATGTTCGGTAGGACCGGAATTTCTGAAATAGGAATCTCAAATTCCAGATACTAAATCCTTTGACTTACGTGTACATCTTCACAACCCTTCCTCTTCATTTTTTTTGCTCTGCCGGCTGATTTTATTTCCCGTCGACGTCAATTCGTTCGCCGGCGTGAATAATGTCGATGAGCAATTCATTGAAAAAGCTCTCTTCTTGTGTCCTTATTGATCTCGATGGTACCTTAATCAACACAGGTATACTCTAACAAATCAATAACTTGTCTCACTTTATCTTTTCTTCGAAATTCGATTGATGTCTTTTAGAATATTCATTGTAGATGGTGTTGTGGTTGACATTTTGAGGAAATATCTGTGTAAATATGGTAAGCAATGGGATGGAAGAGAATCGCTTAAGATAGTTGGGAAAACTCCATTAGAAGCTGCGACCACCATTGTTGAAGATTATGGACTTCCTTGTGGAGTTGATGAATTCAATTCTGAATTCTACCCTTTGTTCTCTGCTCAGTAAGTTTACCTGCAAAGGCCCCATTTTGTTGATTTTCCTCTGTTTTTTTGAATGATTGGTTTGTGATTTGTAGGATGGACAAAATCAAATCACTTCCAGGTGCCAATCGGTTGATTCAACATTTGAAAGGTCATGGAGTACCTATGGCCTTGGCTTCCAATTCTTCAAGGGCTAATATTGAAACCAAAATCTCTTATCACAAAGGTTTGGCTTTTATGAAAATGTTACTCCAATGTTGCATAATCTCGTTTATATAAATTTGTTTCATGAGAAATGCTTTCACTTTTGTGTAGGTTGGAAGGAATGTTTCTCGGTTATTATCGGTAGTGATGAAGTTTCTAAAGGAAAGCCTTCTCCTGATATGTATGATCCATCTCTTGTCACTTTGACCGATAAGTTAGATTACAACTTTAATCAGAATGATCTACTTTTTTTTTCTTAAAGTTTTCTTGAAGCAGCGAGAAGATTGAATAAAGATCCAGCGGATTGTTTGGTTATTGAAGATTCTGTGTGAGTCTTTGACCTTTTGAGCATATCGTTTTGCAGTAGCTGTGCATTTGGTTCGCTCTTACTAACAATCAGTTGAAATTGGCAGGACTGGTGTTTTGGCTGGTAAAGCTGCTGGGACAAAAGTGGTTGCTGTTCCTTCTCTGCCTAAGCAAACGCATCTTTATACATCTGCAGATGAAGTCATCAACTCTCTACTCGACATAAAACCCGAAAAATGGGGTCTTCCTCCATTTCAAGACTGTAAGATAACACTCAAGAACTTCGCTCATTCCTCATTTTTCTTTATACTTTCTTTCATTTCAGTAAAAAGACTGTTAAAACTTTGTAATTTTCATTTTCAGGGATAGAGAACACTTTACCAATTGATCCATGGCGTATTGGAGGTCCAGTTATCAAAGGATTTGGCCGTGGCTCTAAAGTACTTGGAATCCCCACAGGTCTGTACAATAATCATCGAACTGATCAAGCTCTTCTCCTGTTCTCCATACTGTCTACATACTTGTATGGCCCTCTTTTCTTATCACTGCATTTTGTTTTCAGCTAACTTATCAACAAAGGATTATGCGGAGCAGCTAGTCGAACATCCTTCAGGAGTGTACTTTGGTTGGGCGGGATTACCAACAAGAGGCGTCTTTAAAATGGTTATGAGCATTGGTTGGAATCCTTATTTCAACAACTCCGAGAAAACCATTGTGAGTGCATAAGAGTTTAATACGTTCTTCACTCTTGCAATGATGCTTTGTTTTCTTTAACTTAGCTCTTGTTAAATAGGAGCCATGGTTGCTTCACGATTTCACTGAGGATTTCTATGGTGAAGAGCTACGTCTTATAATCGTTGGCTATATACGCCCTGAGGTTATTATCATCATCATCTAATTCATCACCCATTCTTCATATGATTTGTAGAGTAATGCATGCAAATGTAATACTTGTTGTTGTTGTGTTCTTTTTTTTGCAGGCTAATTTCCCTTCACTAGAGAGTCTCGTTGCAAAGATTCACGAGGACAAAGAAGTTGCAGAGAGAGCTCTTGATCTTCCATCGTATGCTAAGTTTAAGCAAGATCCTTATTTGTCAAAATGATTAAAATCATTCATGTAAAGGTATCGAAACTCTTGTTTTCTCACATTCTTGATTGTTAGATAATAAAATCTGATTGTTTTCGGAACTCAAAATCATACTTGTGTTGTTCGTAACTTATTTGCTGTCACAGATTGGTAAGTTGTGTTCATGATATAATAAAATAAACCTGAGAAAGTTGAGCAATGTAAAAATGAGATCGTCCATAAAAGTACGAAATGAACATAAGTAATAATGTGTTCCCGTAGTGTTGTTATGTATGCTTTATTATGCTTTGCAAAGAGTACTTTTGTGAGAATTCAAAAGGGAGAGAGAGCTGAGATGATTCAAATGCGACTTGAATCCCTTCCGAAGATGAAACGCCTCATCCAGTCTGAGACCACCAACACTCTCGTTCGCCAGCTCACTTGCTTACTGTTTAGTTATTACAAAACAGTAAAATGTCAGACGCGTGAATAGTTTTTGTATCTTCACTAACATCATATAACGTTAAAGTTACCTGGCGTAAACAGAGTACCACAGCCATTGACTGCTGTGTCCAATCGAAACCCAGTCTCCTGGAAGTTGTGCTGCTGTTTGTTCTCCTCCTAATGGAGCAAACTGTCCCAAATGTCGATACCTGTTTATATGTATTAACACATTTTCAATTTTTTCTCCTTATCATAACAAGGGTCTATAACATTAATCAAAATTTTAAGATGAAGATTTGGATCCAACCTGAAGGGACGGAAACGATGACGGCCTTCTCCTCTGATCCTAATGGGACCTTCTGGATTTTTCTCGCATTCTTCCATCCGATCAAAGCATTTTGCAAGGTATGTCCCTTGTTGCGCAGCGACCTTTAAGGAGTATAGGATCAAGCAACTTGTGAAAGAGCTGGTTTTGTTTTTACTTTCAAAAGTTTGTATAAACAGAAGGAACGAACCTGTCCAGTAGCTGGGAGAAACTTCACTTGTGAGTCAACTTGAGAAAGTGCTGATTTGAGTTCTTCTATATTCAGTTCTTCCTTGGCCTTACTGGAACCATTCTCAGTGTTGGCTTGTTTTAGGAGATCGGCAATTCCACGCATGCCTTTGCTCTTCAAGTAGAGTTCTATTTGTGGGTATCTAACAAATATGTCATCCATTACTTCTTGAAATTGTTTCACCGTCAATGTTCCTGATTTGTCCTTATCTGCTTTCTTGAAAATATTAGCTATATCTTCCTGAAAACATAAGAAAGAGAGAAACCAATATTTATGTTAAATGATAATCCTAGTTACATCTAAAAGTTATGTAATTTGGTTTACCATGACTTTTCGCTGGTTGATTGTTGCGCAATCACCAAGTGCATATATGTTATCACATCCTTCAACACGAAGCCATTCATTAGTTGCTAAAGCACGTCTATTACCCTGAAATATTTTACAAGAAAATTAACTCAGTTAAGCATTGTAATGTGCAGAGATCAGATCATAAGACATTTAATTACACACCTGACCAATTTGTTTCATAAAATCTTTGATCACAGGACGAGTCCCAACACCAGTTGACCAGACAATCATTCCATAAGGAATAGTAGAGACCTCTCCTCCTTTGGTCTTAGCTGATATTTCTTTGTCATTCACTTTCACCACCATTGAACCCAACTTCACATCAACACCATCTCTACCAAACTTTTCTTCTGCAAACTCCGTGATCCTCTTGTCAAACCTGTGAATAACAACATTAGCTTAGCTTCCATTACAAGAAACTAGGAAAGTGAAGTTAGAGGTCAGGAAATGAATGTTCACATGGTCAAGATGTGGTCTGCAGCTTCTAGAAGAGTGATTTGCACAAGATTCTTGGCTTTAGGATAGAGTTTGACTAGATCCTCCGTTACAAAATCATGCAACTCAGCAGCAAACTCAACACCTGTTGGTCCACCACCAACAACCACAAAATGTAGCATCCTCTTCCTCTCTTCTTCCTTGAGATCTGGCAGACTTGCCTTCTCAAATGAATCAATTACAGTTCTACGGATTCTCTGTGCATCTTCCACCTCCTGCAATCCCCACACCACCATATCTTAGAGACATGTTATAAAAGACATTTCACATCCATTAAAGAGCTAAGATAAGAGAACTTTACTTTCAAGAAATGACAGTTCTCTTCCACTCCAGGAATGTTAAATGTGTTAGACTGAGCTCCGGTAGCAATAACAAGATAGTCATAGTCAACATCAAATTCTTGTTTCTTTCCTTTGGAATCCACTCCTTGTTTAGATCTACAGTAAACTTTCTTCTTTCCTGGATCAATTTTGAAACACTCTGCCTCCAAGAAAGACATCTCAACATTTTTCTGCTTGTTTATAAGACACAAGGACAAGCTTGCAATTAGTAAGTTCTCATCAATAACAATCACTAGAAACAAACTTGTTCTTGTTATACCCTTCCCATGTTGCGAATAGGCTCAACGACGCTGCGAGCTTCAACGGTTCCACAAGTAACACTTGGTAGCAGAGGAGTGAAAGCGAAGTAGTTTCTTGGCGAAATGACCTGAACTTCATATGACGAATTACTCAAATCTTTCAAGAAACTAGCTCCTGCCCATCCAGTTCCTAGCAGAACAACCTTTTTCTTTCTAGTTCCAGTTTCAACACCATTGCTGCTGTAGGATACATTTGCCTCTGAATAGGCTATAAGTCCTCCACCACTATGACAAATGAGAAATATATTGTATCAATAACCAATACACAACATTTTGTTTCTGATTACAATTTATATCAACAGAAGATTTAAAATCATTAATCTATTTGCTTAAGATAGTGGTAGAAGAAGAAAGATGGGAAGAAGTAGACCCTTAGTTCACGGCATTGTTGATCATCATCAGATATAAACAAAATTAAGATGTTAATTGTAGAACCACTATGTATGAAAAGTAAATAAAATAGGACTCAGAAAACAAAATCTGCAGATCTCGAATATGATCAATACGCAGATCAATTCATGGCAAAGCAAATTCTTCGTCAGTAATATACAATATACAGAATGTGATCATTAATGTTTATACAAGTACGACAAGCGCCTTCATGTCAAAGCTTACGAAGAAATTTGAAAATCGGACGAGCAACGCAAAAGGAAAGGGCACGTAAGAGAGTAAATCGATAGAAGCACATAGTTTCAAATGTTGAAGACAAAAATTATACAGCGACGAAACGATACAATGACTGACCTAATCGTGGAGACGACGAGGATTCTGGAGAGAGAAGGATGATCACGGAGAGCTTTAGAAAATCTCTCGAAGAAGGTGAAAGGTTTCATTTTTCCGCTTGGTTCCGATTCCAATCTCCAAGAAGAATAGTAATATTCTGCTTATAGTGACAAAAAAGTATTCGATAATGCCGAGAATCGTGGAGAAAGGAGAAAACTAATGGTACAAGTTTTGAGAGAAGAGTGTGAGCGAGGGATCTGGAGAGGCCAAGTGGGAGTGACGATGGCCAAATTGGAAATTCTGTTTTGATTTAACCGTTGCACACGTGTCAAAGCGTGGGAAAATTAAAGAAAGCGAGGCCTACGAAGTTGGGGGGAAATCAGAGAAGAGTAAACAGAAATGCGTGTCGTTTTTTGCTTTCTTGTGACGGTGGTTTGGTTACTTACTTTTTTTTATTCTGACTTGGCGGGAACGGCAGGAGTTTTGGTCATGTTACATTGATCCTCTAAATGAAAATTAGATTTAGTATATCAAAATGTGATGAGTCAGTGTTTTGTAAAACGTAAAAACTGTTGTTTTCTAATGGTTGTCGCATTTTGTGTGATTCCGTTTAGAATAATCTCTCCGCTTTTGATTCGTTAACTTTTCAAATTTTTTAATTTCACGGTTTTGATATAATATTCACAAGTGACGTGACATGTATGTATTGCAAAATATTCACAAGTGAGATGAAAAGTTGATGGTTTTTGTTTTTTCCTTTAAATTTCATGCTATTTTTTCATTGACATGTATATTTGATTTTTAATACGTGTTTTTGTTTTTGATATGATTCAATTGTAGAAGTTCAAAACTGAATTATCCTCGTATATATACATACATAATGATATTTGTATAGAAATTAACCACCAATGTAGTTTTTCCTTTCTCTGTAATCCGCAAAATGTTTAAGCAGAAAGAGACGAGTCTTCAAGGAAAAAGATCGATCTCGATCAAACCCTCTTCCTCTGCATTAAAATCCAGCTCTGTTTGATTCCGTTTGCTCATCTTCTCATACTCATCGAGCTTTATCTCAATCAACCCAATTCCATCGTCGTCGTCTTCCTCTTCCCATCTGAACCTCATATTCTCCGGCGAGATCCAGCCACCCATCTCCGGAAAATTGAATTCCGACAAAGAATCCGAATCCGATTCCGAATCTGATTCTGGATAACAGAGCGACAACGACGGGTATCTCTCGATTTCATTTAACCGGGTCGAGTCTTTTTCACCCGAAACCGACTGATTCTCTTCTTCTTCGTCACCATCATCGTCTTCTTCGTAGGCTTCGTGTATCACCTCCAACGGTGCTCTCAGATTCCACTCCACAAAATCACCAATCAAATTAGGCTTCGTGTCGGAATCCTTTTCGCGTTTGGCTTCGGACACCAAAACCTTAGATTCTTCAGCCTCCTCGAGATTCACGCTTCCGGTTTCTACTCCGTTTCCGGGTCGGGTATTCAATTCTCGGGTCGATCCGAGGAGAAGAAGAGAGAAGAGGAAAGCGCCGGAGATGAGAAGAACAGGGGAGAGAAGGATTCGAAGGGAATCATTAGGGAAATAGATGAGAAGCAAAGTGTAGAGAGTGATGAAACATGAGAAGAGAGGATGAGAAGAGAAAGTAGAGATCGTCCACAAGTTTTCTACGTTTTCTTCCATAACGTGAGGGAGCGGAAGCTGAGAGAGAGACTTTGTTGGTCGTTGCATTTAAATGCCCCGAGGAGGGTTTTGTCTTTTTTTTTTCTCTAACAGTCAACAGATACTTAAATGTTCATTAAATTCTATTGTTTTGATAGTTTGTATTTTTATACAAAAATCAACTTTGAATTTACTATTGTTGTTGTCTTGTTGATAGGAGGAACAAAAAATTGATTTTCTTTACTCGTAAACTTCAGAAGTATTTATATAAAAATGGAAATTCACATTTTGATTGCACTAGTTAATATCCGCTTTATTTCAGTCTTGTTTCGGTATGAGCCTCACTTGCCCATAGATCTTAGACTTAGAGCGTTGGTGTGAGCCAACAAGACCTTTCGTACGAACCGTGTGGTTTGCAAGTTCACATAGTTTCGAACTTTCGATAGAACATTTTACATCCAGTTTGGGTGATGCATGTGTCGCGTCCTATTATATACATCGATTTTGGTAAATAAATTTACTTCAATGCCATATATGTACTATTTTGTGATATCATGATGACAAATAGTAACGGAAGAATATTTAAGTTTTTAACCCATACAATACAGACATAATGACGTATTGCCTAGATTCTTACAATGGAATTGAGAATTGATTTTATTGCTTTGATCCTTGGGGTGTTGGTTCGGGAAATGTGAAAGCTTTTAAAGTGCGTATGGCAAAGGCAACGAATATTATAAGAGAACTCTTACAAGAAATTTTAGCGTAGAAGCTATAATTGACAACAACAACAACAACAAAAAATTGAAAATAAAGTCTATACAGAACTGGAAATACTTCTGAAATTATATTACCAAATTCTATTAGAACAAAAGTTTACTTTTATATGTGCCACTCCATGTTTTTCCTCTTTTAAGTTTTTGAGATGAGTGGCGCTAGAGAAAAGAAAATATACTTACAAAAGTATTTTAAGATGAGTTCTTAGTTCATACGAAAAAATTTGACATTACGTTAAACAAATTAAATTATTCTAAAAGTTTATCTATTACATTTCGACGTAGATTACTCGAACCTTGACAAAATTTTGTAAGTATAATTGATTTGACATATAATCAGGCGTTGATCCATGTAATTTACACAATAACCAAATTAACTGACTTAACTGTTTAGTTATCGAGATGACTGTTTGGTCCCCCAACAAAGGCTACACGAAGTAGTATTTAACTGCAAATTACATTTACTTTTTTTTGTTAAATTCGTAATATGAATTAAGTCTCATAAAATTCCACTAGGTTCTAAACTTATAAAGGTTGAATTTAACGACTTGTTGTGAGCCTGTGACAAAAATAAAAATGACTCACTGATCGTTAAGGAAAAATATTGGTACAACCAATAGAAAAAACTTCATCTTTTGCATTCATATTTTTTAAAACACAAAGTGAAATTCATCAACCGTAAATAAACCGTTAATCCAAAAGGTCGGATCCAATAATCGGGTAATATCAAGAAACATTAACCTCGAAAGCTGTAAAGGAAAAGACATGTTTTGCAATTGCATCTACTACTTGATTTATTTGTCGTGAATGGAAAATATGAGAAAAAAATATTGAACTCCTCTTGAAATCTATGATACATTTGCATTCAATTATTCTTCTCTTCACATGCATTTCAGTAAAGTTTTAGCAAATAACGGAATGATTAAACAAAGCAAAGTAGTTCCGCTTTATGTTTGTTGAGAAAGAGAAAGGTGAAAGCCTGAAAGTTGGTAGTTATGGCAGTGGTAGTGGTTTCTTTTGCCCATGTCTTCCTTTCTTTTATATATATCCGACTTTTGTTGAATTCGATAAAATTTGTTTTCGTTAACCTATGAGTAACAAAATTGAATTAAAATATACCAAAGAAACTTGCGGATTGGCCTGGGGGTTTTTTAGGGTATTTGGATTCAATTGACTTTGAGATTCATAAAATATTGTATGGTCATTTAAGCGAGAAGCAATGGCTTTATATAAAGTTGACAAAAAATAATCAAAGTTTTGATGATTAGGGAGAATGGACCCAAAGGACATAAACCACGTGACTAAGAACCGTTTGGACCGACCACATCCATCACCTAGGCTTGACTTCCACGTAATGATTCTCAAAATTGGATGTTCAAAAGTTTATAAAGCACATGAACAATTAGTTTGTAGACTGCGTTGTAATATACGAAGAGAAATTAAGGCATCACTTTATCTTATTTTTTCCCCCTCCTTTTACTATTGTGGGTCTCTTTCAAATTTCGATGCATGGGTCGAAGTGGAAACAAAGCTATTCCATTGAGATGGATGATAATGAGAGGTTAAGATGCATATGGACTGTTGACACATCAAATGTAAAGCTTGATAAAGCTATTCCATTTAGATGCATATGGACGTGTTGGCAAATGGATCCTATCCTATCTACTTCCACGCACAACCTTTCGTGAACTATTTGTTTTCAAATGTTCAAGTTTATTTCATTTATAGATATTAATATCTCGTTCTTAGACAATATAGTTTTCACCGAAGTTATTGACTAATTATAAAACCTTTTATGAATATGCAATGGGCTAAGGTAGTGAGTGCAACTGATCAACATCGAGCTTAATTTGACCTTAAATCAAATAATACACAACCACATGACACTACAACCAGTCCATGTATCATGGCAACATTTTGTAATACTGAGTTGTGACTTTGTATGATAATGAGCTTTTGTGTCTAGTGGATATTACCATATGTGATCTGTTTGATGATAGTAGTATAGGTAAATAATTTAATACATTAGACAGGATTGGCTTATTTATGATTTAATTTTTCTTATTATGACAATTCTTTAGATTCATTAATTTTGTGTTGACATAGTATATGTATGAATTTATTGATATTTATTGCACCCTAAGACAAAAACAAAAACAGAACCTTGGATACTCTTTGAGTCTTGACTAAAACCCCAAAAAAACTGAAATATATATTAATAAAATTTCAGTTCCCAATGTATCATGTATGCAAATGAATTTATATACAAAAATCATCTCTAAACCCTAGAATATTCTGAATCAAAATGCATACTAATCACAAAAACTATAACAGTCAAAGAGACTTTGACAGTAATCAAAGTGCATGTATCATCATTTTCAAGTAAACAATGCCACAGAGACATTAGACAAGTGCTCTTTCCTCTTAGCCTTGGTCCAACGGTAGCGAACCGGCGCGTTAGGTGGCTCTATATCTTCCACTTGATGGCTCGAATCCGAAACCTCCTCGAGGTCTATTGAGTTCCGAAAAGCTCGAGTCTTTATCGGCGTGGTGTATGCAAAATGTAACCTTTTTGCGATCAAACTCTGTTTTAGTTCAAATAGCAATTAGAACAATGAATCAATCAAGCAAGAAGATTATCTTCAAATGATGGTAAAAATGGAAACTTACAGCTTCTTTGATCGATTTAGATACACTGTTTAGACTCTTGAGATCCTCATGATTAACACCACAAATCACCCGAATCTGTTACAAAAATCCGATTGATCAATCAATCATATCAATTCGAATCAGATTTAGAAATGAATCATAAGCTAAACTTACCAAGAGCTCTTGAGGCAGAGATTCAAGGAGAGATTTCTCAGGGGACGAAGAAACTATTGCGATGCTTCGTTGTCTCTTCGACGAACTCTTCACCGGCGGCGATTCAAGCGCCGGAATCTCAACGGCCGATCTAGATAGAGATTCGCGGATTCTGCTTGAAATCAAAATCCTTTTCCTCCCTAATCCTCGCGCGAACCTCACTGATCCTAATCCTAACTCTAATTCCTCATCCTCGCCGCGAAATCCACCGATTCGCTTCGACTTCATTTGAAATCCTCTATTCGTTAACGTCATTGTTGTTGTTCTTCTTCTGCTTCCTTCACTGAGAAGGTTCTTCTGAAACAGAGTTTCCGAGATCCACACAACTACTTTTACAGCACTCGAGAACCAAAACTCACCGATTATATAGAGATAACGGATCATGAGAAGTTAGAATTAGAAGAAGAAGAAGAGAGCACAACACACATAAATGCAGAGAAAAATAAACTCGATATTTTCAGCAGAATATAAGCTCTGATTTTGAGAGATGAACTAGACACGTGGCGGTTTATTATTGGTCAGCCGTCATTGGCATTTTGTGTTTCGATCGGTCCAATTTAGCCCCGTACCGGTTAATTTACAAAATCACGCGGTTTATTCGGGAGAAAATCTCTGGACCGTACGTGCGTCCACAGAATAATGAGTGTACTGGTTACTAATCGTTCGCCACGTGTGGTTTGAACGGTTTAGATTTAATAGCCAGCCAAAGAGTTTGGTAGATTTGAAACCAGAGAATTTAACTTGTGTTTCATTGGATTCTCTAAACCAGAAGATACTTGTGTTTCACTGGATTCTCTAAACCAGAAGATTTGTTTGATTGTGTAAGTATGGGAATTTGTAGTTTTCTTTTCCAATAAAATGCTAGAATATACTTACAGTTTTTGTTTTGGATAAGAGGAATAAAATAAATCTTGGATGTGCTTACTTTTAAGAGAACTTTTAGATATACAAAGAAACAAACCCGCATGTCAAAAGATTGAAAATAATTTATTAAAAATTTAAACTACGTAATAATAGCATGACATGAACATAATTTTAAGTTTACAATAAACAATTTATGATTTTAACATTTTTAACTCACTTGAAAATATTATATTTTTGGAAATATAATCTATTCTCAATACTATATTATATATAGTAGATTTTTTTATGCATGCAATACTGTAAACAATCAACCAAAAATCAAACCCTAATTTGTATCTAATTAGCCGTAATCAATGATATGGTAAAGTATATTGATTGTTTATACAATTAATCTGCACAAAATAACCACAAGTATTTGAAGATTATAAGTTTAAATAACATTAAACCCAATTAATAGTCTATAGTTTATTAGGTATTAGGTTTATAATTAAATTATGTAATATATTATACATATATCTTTGTCTTGGCTCAATGTTAATGATATTTATGTTGTGGAAATATATAAGTCTAAATTATTAGATATTGCCGAAGTTGACATAAACAACCCGTTAATGATATTGCATATTTTTAATGGGTTTCGTGTTTCTAACTGGTCTTGTCGAAGAGCACAACAAGATTGGTGTCTCCAAAACGGAACGGCCAACATCATCTACAACGAGACGAAAGATTATAATCTTAGTTAATTTTGTGGCATACATGTTTGGAATAAGAGGAACTATTTTCTCGACATCTACAATCGAGACTTGGGCTGCTACAACCGGATTGCTATTCAGCGGAGGCATGAATGGTAAGTTGCATGCGTGGACAGTACATGATAGCTAAAAATATGGTTGATTTGAGTTTAAGTGATTCACTGATGTCTCTCTTGTAATATGGTATGTAATGAGAAATGAAATAAGGACATAAAACATAAGTACTTTGAAAGCAAACTCGACTTCTATTTCACCGGAAAAACGTATGTCAAAATTTTCATGTATATTCTGATTTATTCAAATTGATCAGATGAAACGCTTATTGTATCATGAATTTTTGTAGAGAGATGATGTTTTAATAGGAGAGTAAATGCTTACACTTTGGACTAAACAAATTTGATCAACATTGATTTGTAAGCATTGATAAATAATAGTTTGATTGAATCATAATTAAAGTTGTTTATTTGTAGATAAGCAGCCGAAGTGGAGTAAATAGATGAACGAGGCAACAAACTACAATGTAATAAACGGATTATAAAAATATACACCGATTGATAAATAAAATGAAACAAGCAAAATCAGAAGGAAAAAAGTATGGGGAGAACCAAAGCTTGTAACTGGGAGATGAAATTGTACCAAACAACATGTAGAGAATTGAAAAGACCTCACTATTACAAGTTGCAACAGTTGTTGGTCAAGAAATGCGATTGTAAATGGACATGAACAGTTTATAGATGACACGATTACGAACAAAAATGTACTACTACAAAAGGCATTTCTTCAAGTTACTATGTTAGGCTTTTTCTTCCACTCCCGTGACGTTCTCGTGTTGAGTGTTGTCAGTTTCATCAGATATGTTCTCTTCTTCGCATGTAACGTAGAAACTCCAGAGAGAGACACAGTTTTCATCAGCTGTGTTATCAGAAAGAGAAAAGAAATATTTGATTTTTTTTGTCTTTTATTCTGAAATATTTCAGATAGAAGCTAATTAGTGTAAATGTTGTACCTTTCAATTGGAGATCGTTCTTGACTTCATCGTCATCATCAGGAATCGAAAATCGTCTGTGACCAGAGGATGTAGCAGCCATTGGAAGGTATGGGTGGAAAGAAAAAGCATTGACGGTATCTGCAATATCCAATTGTAAAAATATGCTCTCAAGTTAAGATCTTATTAAGAGAACTGGAGAGTTTACTCAAGAACCAAGTGTTGTAAGCTTACCTGAAGCAGCTTGATATCCAGAGACCCAGTTTCCGGTTTGTAAATCATACATGTGAACGAGCCCATCCTGGAACAAAATGGGAAAAGAGTAACGTGGTTTAATAAAATGATAAAAAGATTGCTTTGTATCCTGAGAGTTTAGGGAAGAACATAAATTGGTAGTACCTGACCACCAGTGCCAAGATGTCGACCACATGGCTCAATATCAAAGAATACACGCTGGTTTGTGTTCTCTGTTGCTCTGTACAATCTGATACACAAACAAACATGATCCATTTTCGACTGTATTAGCTTCAACACACAATTTCATCAAAAAGCCAAGACTTCTAGTAACTTGAACATTGATGTAGACTTCTTTTTGTTTCTAGATTATCTTCTTGGACAATTTCAAGCTTAGAAATCCGAAGACAAACCAAAACAAACCAAAAGAAAATAATAACTAACGTACTCACTTATAAACTGTCTCAACAGATTTCCGCATATCCCAGCAAAGAATGTAAGGATCCTGAAAAGAGCACACAAAAATATAAACATTTTGGTATGGTTACTACAAACGTAGTCCTATTTAGTATCTCTGGATACACAACATTATCTCAAGCTCAAGACAATATTCAGAAGAAAAAGGTTTATAACAACAGCAAGTTACCTTGCGGCCTCCTGTATATAAATAATTCCCATCCTTTGAAAACTGGACCTGAACGAGAAAGAAGAAGTTCGATTTATGATTCATTATGTCCCAATGCATATAAATAAAGCAACAATTAGTGATCCTTGCTTACATGTGTAACGCCGCCTTCTTGACCATGTAAGACATAGAGTAGCTCCATGTTGTCTTCTCTATAAATCCCAGTAGTCTGACCGTAAGAGCCAACAGCCAACATCCCAGAATTTGTTGGCGAGAAAGCAAGTGTAGATAGTATACCTGCAAATCATAACCCAGCATAATGTTATTCTTTGTTTTTGCATAAACTGTAATACTACTATTATGCAGCGTGAGTGGTAAACTAAATAGATACCTGCTTGGCCCTCTTTATTTCTCTGTAGTGTTGAATACTCGCCAAAATCTCTACCGGGACGATGAAGATCAAACACTCTTATAGAGCTGTTGTAACCAGCAAATATCCTAAAGACGTAACACAGCCAACTGAATATTAGATGAGTGTTCTGATACAAAAGGAAGATGGATAAATCTTAGATGAAGTTCTTGCTTACTTGGTTCCATCAGGATTAAATCCAATTGAAAATGCAGCAGTTATTTCATCCATAGCATCATAGGCTCGGTACGTGCATCGAAGCTGTCATTGTTATATTCACATGTAAATAACCAGATACACACTCAATGATGGTAGTATAGCTCTCTAGTAACTAAACATGTTTAAGTTTCATGGAAAAATCAGCACCTCACCAGAAGTACTATCCCAAAGATGGATCGGATGGTCTCTAGTGGTGGTAGCGAAGACGCATGTTAATGGGTCTGAAAATCAAACAGTCAACAGCCGGAATCAGAAATTCAAATGACGAAATCAATAAGCAAAAAGAGAAAGAACAACTCATGATGAGCTTAATTTTTACCTGAAACAGACATGTGTGGATACCAACAGAAATCATAAACAGATTCACCCTCATTCACAACTAGACTCGCACCATACGAATCTACAATTCCGAAAATCACATACACATCATATAACACAAATGGCAAAATCTTCAAATTTGTATCATTTGACACAACGTATACGGAAAAAGCTTACCTTCTTCAGAAATTGGCACTCCATAGCCATTAGAAGCCCCTCCATCTTGAGGCCTAATGGACAATTTTGCAAAACGAAAAGATTCAACATAGAACTAAAACTACCCAAATATACAAAATTTTACTGATGCTTAAGCTTACAGATAAAAAAGGCTTAGTGTATTGCCCTCTGAGCTTGAAAGAAAACACGAACCATCAGGTGACCTGTAAGCAGCAGTAACAAATCAAGTAGCTCAAAATTTGAGGAGGAAACAAAAAATTGAAACTTTGAGAAAGAGCAACCTTGAAGAGAGAGAGTGAAACAAGAATTAAGGGTACCATTTAAGGCCCTTGAGGAAATTGTTAGGGTTTCGACCGGCCCTGAACTGCTTGGAGAAATGGTGTGTTCTGTAAGGAGACACATCGAATCTCATGGTGGGCCATGATGAAGTTTGTTCTCCTGAGTCTACCTTTAGTCCGCCATTTTCTTCTACTATTGCGTCTTCTTCAGCCATCCTCTTCGTCTTCGTCTCCGTCGTCGTCGTCCCAGCTTTTGGGGAAGTAGTAGCAGAGAGGTTTATTTCTGTTCTAAAACCCAGTCGAAATCTTCGAAACCCGAACCGGGTTTTTTACAATCTCAGACCGACAAATTGAAATAGATGATATTTAAAAGATCCAAAATTCAATTTAAAAACCAAGAAATTCAAACCGAAATCAAACCAAAAACCGGATTAGGTCTCTTATTGGAATTTTGGAAGAAAAGCCCGCCAGGTTGTGTCATTAGTGCGTCTTTCTACTTACTCCCGGCGGATTCCGGCGACGC